TTTTTTTTTTTTTTTTTGCAGTGGGTATATTTTTAATAAATTGTTTTTTAACTTTGTTAAAGAGGTAGTTTTTTTTATATTTCATTTATTCCATGCACACGTGAAATTTGTCAATAATGACAGATATATATGAAGTGAACTTGTCACATTCAGATCACGTATTCTCTTTGATTTTGTCTCTTTGGATTTCAATCCTCCCATAGTAATGTATATACAGGGGAACTGGGATTTTTTTTTCTTTTTGTATTTATGTATAATTTTACTATCGATTACGATAAATTGTATAATTATAAACAATTTATACTTTTTATTTCCATTTATTGTAATTTATATATTACATGTCGTAATCACCGTCAATTAAATAGAATTGATCAGGAAAATCAGGAAAAAGTCAGGGATTTTTATTAAATGTACTGGAAAAAAATGTTTTTTCTATTTCTGACCAGATAATGGATTATTTTAATTTTGTTCAATTATTTCAAAAGTTCTAACGCAATTATCTTGATAAAAAAACTACAATAACTTCTTTTTTTACTACTCATCAACACAACAACATACTCAACTTTGAATTTTTAAGAATAACTACTCTCATTTCTTCTAATACCAAGTTTTAAAAAGTCAGACAAGTTTTTGACAAGTTTTAACAAGTTTTTCAAAGTTTTACAAATTTTAAAAAGTCATTTTACATGACAAGTTTTTGACAAGTTTTAACAAGTTTTTCAAAGTTTTACAAATTTTAAAAAGTCAAACATGTTTTTGACAAGTTTTAACAAGTTTTTCAAAGTTTTACAAATTTTAAAAAGTCATTTTTACATGACAAGTTTTTGACAAGTTTTAACAAGTTTTTCAAAGTTTTACAAATGCAAAATTCAATAATTTTCATAAAAACAATATTCTCTACAAGAATTCAATTATTTTGAAAAGTAATAAAATTCTTGGAAGAAATTCAATTATTTTTAAAAATTTTAACGAATATCTCGTCAAGAATTCAAATTATCTTTAAAATTAACCAAATTGTTCGCCAAAAATTCAATTATTTTCATAAAAAACAATATTCATCAAAAGAATTCAATTATTTTCAAAAGTATTAATATTTTTCGAATAAATTTAATTATTTTTAAAAAATTTTAACGAATATCTCGTCAAGAATTCAAATATCTAAATAAATAGCAACATTTTTCGCCAAAAATTCAATTATTCTAAAAAATTTAAAGAAAATTCTTTACAAAATTCAATTATTTTGATAAATATCAAAATTCATCACGAGAATTCATTTCTTTAAAAAGTAATAAAATACTTTGCGGAAATTAAATTATTTTCAAATTTTTTTTTAAATTCTCGTCAAGAAATAAATTATTTTTATAAATAGACAGCGAAATTCTTCTCAAGAATTGAATTATTGCCAAAAATTCTTATAAAATTCTTGGCAAAATTTCAATAATTAATAATTTAATACTCGTAGAATTTTCTAATAAAAATTGATTTAAAAATTAATGTCCGTTAAAATTTTTGATAATAATTTAATATTAAAGGCATTATGGCATGAATTTTCAGAAATAATTAATTTTTGAAAAGGTTTCAATTTCAAATCTTTGGAATTCTAAATTTTTTGTACTTTTAACTAATATAATTGATTTAAAGGAGAATTTTAGTTAAAAATTCTAGAAAATAATAACTGAATTTAAATGATGAAAATAATTTCGAAAAACTTGGAGTAACAATATTCTTATAGAAAATAATAATTTTATCACTGGGTTATCTTTAATTATTATAAAAAATTATTATAAAATTTTATAACAATATTCTTATAAGTTTCTGAATTTCAAAAAGATTTGAATTTTAATCTTTTGGAAAATTTTAATTCCTACGAAAAAAAAATAATAATTTAATATTTATTTAAAAATGAAATTATTGATGTTTTCGAATAATTTTATAATTAAAGAAATTCGTAAATAAAAATATTAGAACATTTTTTTTTTGGTATCTAATAATTTTTAGAGTGAATCTGAATATTTTTTAGGGTTAGGGAAAAAGATAAAATTTTGTCTGGAAATCAGAGGAAAAATAAAATAAAATTTTTGTAGGATTTACTTTTAGTTGTCATTATTCTTGCTTTTTGATTGAAATGGTTTATTTTTCCGTTCACATTAGTAGTGAAATTCATGAAATTTTGATTTGTCAATCAATAATAAATTGATGACTTTAATTAATAACCAGGAGTTGTTGCAAATGTAAGTGGATATCATCAGTAAATATTATTTTGTAATATTGTGCGGAAACGATATTGTCTGTGGGATTTGAAACGAGACGACGAGATTCGGAGAAACCTGGAGTAGAATATTGAGCCCTTTCATAGTTTTGTCACATGGGATTGGAAATGAAGTCGTCGGATGGAAGGTTCATAGACGGGGGTGTCAGGATTGGAGTTAACATGCAAGTAGGGGGAAAGGGTTATTTCGTCCCTTGATCTCCACAGAGAGAGAGAGAGAAATAGTCTGGCGAATGCAACACGTCGATATTAGGTTCCTAGACGTTGAGTTTGTGGAGCGCAACTTGTGTGTATATAGAGAGGAAGGTCCCTCAAATTCATTTTCAGTTTCACTGTATATGATCAAACCCAACGACTTGCATATTCAGCAACTTGTAATAAACCCCCCTTCAAAATGCTAAAATTACAATGCGCGCGAGTAATCGCTGTTATTTTCTCTAAAAGCACTCTTTACTTCTTTTTTCTTTATTTCTTTCTTTCAGGACAATTTAAAGAAGAAAAAAGCTCTACAGCTGTTAATGTTAAAAATCTAAGATTTTAAAGTTGCATTTTTGGGTTTCTTAACAAACGGAGAAGAAAATATTTTTATTAAATAATAGTTACAAGAAAAAATAGTTAATGATAGTTGCAATAAATTGCTGGTAATTACAATTGGTAATAGCTAGTTTCTTTTCATCAATAATCCCAATTTTCTCTTCGTTATTGGAGTTGAGCAATAGAGGTGTTTGTTGAATTCAAATATCATGATCCTTTTAGAAGGAATTAAAAGTTACTTAATTAGCCCATCAGAAGTTGACGATAATTAACAATTTTCTTTGAAAGAAGAAACGACTGTTTTTATGAACGTTTCATCTCGTAAAAATTGATTGCCCCACTATGTGGAATTGAAGAAAAAAGAAGAAATTATCGTTTTAAAATAAAGAAGGGAAGAAAACGGGAAATGCACTTGGCGACACATACATTGATTTTCTTTTGAAATGCTCTTTTGTTCCATTAACTTGACCTCCATTCAAGAATTATTTACTATTTTCTTATATTTATTAATAGAAATTCTTTTCTATATTTGTAATCAATGAAAAAGTTGATACAACCATTTATAGTTTATAATTTATTTCATGTTAATAAAACTATTTTTTCTTTTAATTTTTAATGAAAAGATGTGTTGGATTGTATTGAAGAGTGAATCTGCTGACATGAATTCAATACAAAGAAATTGTTTTCCAAAGAAAAGGTACTTTAATCTCATTGTTTTGCAAATGACACGATCGAATAATCGCACAATCGGTTTCTTTCGCTTGATCGCGTCCATTTAACTTTCCAGAGGCAAGGGATTTCAGTTTTCAAGTCATTTAAGTGGAAATTCGCGAATTCTTATAATATAAATCCAGAGAAAGAAAGAGAAAGAGAGATCATGTAAAAATATAGTTTTCGTTGATTCAGCTTTTCTTTTTTTTTTTCTCAAAAGAAAAATTCATCCCATCAAAAAGCAATCTCATATTCAAGACTTTGGTAATCTTTTGACTTTTCTGCAAAGCTTTTAAGAAATTATTCCACTGTAAAATGAGTATTGCATCAGCAATCTTAAAATTAATTGTTTCTGATATGTAAATTTAGGTGTGAACGACTTTTATATTTAAATAAATTTGCATTTTAAATGCAAATGAATTTCAATTTTTCTTTGCGTATGTATTCTTTTTTATCTTTTATTTCTTCAAAAATTTTCCGTCGAGTTACTTGTTTTTAACACTTATGTAACTAATGGTACTTGTTATGACAGAATATTTATAAATTATAATTATAATAGTTATAAATTTACCACACTGACAATTGCGATTTCGATAAAATGTTTCATTTTTTAAAACTTTTTTCTCTATTATTGAAACTCTATTCTCTCACAAAATTCATCCTGACGATCTTTAAAAAAAAATAATAAAATTCGTAAATTTTTTTCTAATTTTTTTTTCTTGAATTCACAGAAAAATGATAGAAACCTTAAATTATATTTTATCACGTACCATTGTCGCGCTGAATAAGCGGCTCGAATGTTCGCTCTTTAAATTTATATGTATATATATATACATACACAGCGAGATTGTACGTGGTCGCAAATCGATGATTGTGCAATTCTCTTCGATACTAAAACGGGCATAGAAAACGCTTCCATTCAGTTAAGATTACTTGGCACACAAAGGTGAAAATGTGTCTGGCAAATTAACATAGAGATTGAAAGCCCGTGCCTTTACTAGTAATTGATACAGGCCTTAAGTTTGCAATAATTTTCCCTCAGATTCCATCTGTGTACATAGTTCCACAATGCCTACAACTTTTATTTATATTACAATTCATATAAATTTATAATTTAATCATCTTTCTTATTTTCGAAATAATGTTATGAATAATAATTTACTTAATTGTTAAAAATAATGGCTACATCAGGGTTCGAATCAGTGAAAGTATTAAAAATTCGGATTTTACGGACCACAAATAAAAAGATAAGGACCAATTACAAAACTATAACCAATCCAAGTCCAATAAAAGAATATTTAACTTAAAACTATATAAACTAAATTTTTCATAATTCTATAAAACATGAAGATGACCCAGTGATAAAATCATTATTTTATATTATAAGAATATTGTACTTCTTCCAAATTATTATTTTCAAGAATTTTGAAAAAAGCTCTTTGGCAATTATTAGTTTCTTACGTTTGTATAAATTTTGTTGTTGCAGAAGAATCTCCTGAAGAATTCACCATCATCATACACATAGTTTGGAGGTGATGTTTCTAAGAAAAAGTGTGCCTTGGATAATAGTTCCACAATATTGGAATAAGTGGAATAGCAAGAGTGATTTTATTTTATTGCTCTTGAAGGTGAGAAATTTGGAGAATTAACGGGGAACAATAGAAAAAAAAGAAGGAGAAAGCCGCCGACACATTTATTAAAAAAATAAGCGAAACAGTAATGGTGTCACGTATATGCAATGACTCTGGCCACAGCCGTGGCAGTGAGGCATTGGGCCCATGCTTACAAGGCCCTCGCCTGTGTCGTTCTGACCCTTATTGCCATTCAATATCTCCTCAGCGGGATTTTCGATCGTCGCTCAATCGAGACCATTTTCACTATTAACGCCACTCGGTAAGTTTTTCTGTCAATTTTTTTTTCTTATGTAAAATTATAAGTATTTTTTTCCGCCCCTTCCTTCTTTTTTTCCTTAACCCCTCTCTTTATGGTAGTTACGAAATTTGATAGATAGATACTAACAATGGTAGTTACAATAAAAAATGTTATCATCAACAATAGATAAATAATAAATTTCAGTATATTCAAGCAATGATTGTATAACAACTTTTCCTAACTGCAAAAAATAGTTGTACAACAAGAATTGGTAGTTGCAGACAATGGTAGTTGCAATCAGCATTTTACTCTCGAATTAAAAAAGTAGTCATTGTTTTGTTTCCTTTTGTTGTCTCTTGTTGAAAGGGATTCTAAAAAGAAGTCAGTTGAAGATTAGGATGTTTGAGTGTATGGGGAAGAAACTCTTGAGAATCGATTGATCTTGGAGCCTTTGAGATGAGTTCGACGCCAGGAGAAATCTCATTACTCGCTTGTAACGAGGTACATAGCAACCGATACTGTAGGTGCGCGCCCTTCGCGAGTTTGGCTACGCGGAACAATTTATGGCACGGTATAATGGGAAATAATCGGTTACTTGTCGATGCTAGGCGATTATCCCAGATTCCTCTTTTGACCCTCAAGGAGCATTGATTTTCCAACTCCCTCAAGCTCATTCCTGATCCTGGCAATTATTCACAATCTGAAAGCCAGTTGGTTATACTGATATAACTCTCACTTTAACTAATTTTACTACTTTACTTCGTGTGCTTGAGGGAAACAAATTTTTATTCTCGAGTGTTCTTCAATTAGTATTTATTATTTTATTGGCAAGTTTTTCTTCTCATTTTTCTATTAAAACAATTAAACAATTAAAATTGTTCTAATATCAAGTTTTCCGGATTTATTTATTAAGATCGTTTCAACAATTAGTAATAATAATAGATGCTAAATTAAAATTTCAATTATCTTTAGAAATAATAAAATTCTTCTCTGAAATTCTCCGAGTCGAAGACTCGGAGTGATCAATTTGTTCATGTTTTATAGTTATGAAAAAATTTAATTTATACTTTTAAGTGAAATGTTTTCTTATTTGACTCGGACTGATTATATTTTTTGTCAGTAAAGTCCGTAAAGTCCGTATTTTTAAATACTTTCGCTGTTTAGAACCCTGAATGTTTTTAAAAACCTTTCCAATTCATATTCAACCAGAAAGAATTCAATTTTAATTAAACTCCAGTCTCCACTTTCATCATATCCGGGAAATAAGATGAAAATCTATTTTCGCCTATTCTTTTGATTACATTTGAAAGTCAAGTCAATATAACTGATTAAAAAAATTACAATTTCATTTCCTATTGAATGTTTTAATTTCTTTTTTCAAGAGAATATATTTTTTCAAAATAAATTTTTTTACAATTAATTTTTTAATACTTTTTGAATACTTTTTCAAAGGAAAAAAAATATTCTTGACATAATAAATAATTGAATTATTGGTAAATTTCTAAATGAACGATTGTAATTTATTTGTTGTTTGTGTTAAATTATCTGCATCGTCGTATAGTACGACGTTGACATTTTTTAGTTTGAAAAATTGTAGTCGGATGCGACAAATTGTGTAACTTGTTTATGTATATACATATACACACGATGCATATGTTTCAACTCGGGGTAAAAGTAGCACGGTGACCTGAAAATTAATCGATATAGGCGGAAAGCACAGATTCTAAAATATACCCTTTCACATTTTTCCAGACGAAAAATTATATATCTTTAAACGTTTTTTTAGTTGAAAGAGAGAAAATCAAAAAATTTCACATAGCAACAGTCTTTTGTTGAAATCAATCATATTGAGAGGCGAATGAATTTTTTAATATTATTATAAAACTATGAATCACCATTTTATCATACTACCACAAAAACAATGTACTTATAAAATTTTGTTACCTTTGGAAAAAATTATTTTGAAATTAAAAGATATTTTTGTAATGCGCAGGAAATTAAAAATCCAATTTCAATGTTGGGGATGATATTTTTCCAGTTTAAAAGGAAAGTAATTTAAATAATAATATTTGATGAAAAATATTGATAGTAAGGACATTTGAGAGAGAGCATATAATTTACCATATTTCGTTTCGCTTTTCAACGTCCTGTAAACAAGGTTCGTGAAAGTCACACGCCCATTATGCACGCGTAAATCATATTTATTCAAGATTTTCATCACATGGCTCGACTCGGCTCGTCGGAAAGTAACTAATATGGGGTTTCCTTACGTGTTCATAATAATACCTATAGATATATAGAAGTCGTTCGAGTCTAATATAATTGACGATGAAAAAGTTTTTTTTCCCTTAATTAATTAATCCGTAAATTGTACTCTGGAATTTTACGGAACACATTATCGTTAATTGTAAATATCATTATCACATTGTATTTAGACAATCAGTTCCGGTTAGGTTCTAACTGCTAATTAATTACGTTTTATTAATTTTATTAACTATTGATAATTTAATCGAATATTTATTAAATTAATTAAAGTTATGAACTACCAAAATTATAACTATAACGATCATAATAATTGGTAGTCAAGAGTTATAATTAGTTGATAGTTATTATTTTCATAATTAGTTTATTATCATTTTATTAAAACAAAAGCACATGAAGAAATAAACCTAATAAAAGAAAGTTTAGTAATTCAAAAACGTACCTATACAGAACTTTATTTTCTGCACGTAGAATATAAAAACTTAAAGGAAAAAAAATATATAACGGAGGAAATAAAAATTTCTTGATATAATAATTCAACAAAATTTTCGCTTTAAAATTCTTTAAGCATATATTTTGTCTAAAAAAAAGTTTAATCTTAAAAAAGTAATATACATAAATATGAAATAAAAGCGATATGAATTGTGAAATAATATTTGCTTGCTGTGCAGCATTTTAATGAAATGGTATATAAAATAAAATTTTTATTATGAAATAAATAAAATTTTCTAGAAATAACAAAGTATGTTTTGTTCTTAACATTTGAATTTTCGTTTCTAATATACATGACAATAAAGTGAATTAAACTTTTTATCCTCTATGCACGTAAGAGGGCATAATAGTGGTTCAGTATTTGCGCGAAGAGAATCGCATAGTGTAATAACGAGAAAAAAGAAGAATAACGAGTCTAAGTTTCCTCGTGTACTAAGCACTTTTAAAGCAGGTGGGTAATAATAAGAGGTTCTGTAATTTGGAAAAAAGGAAGGAAGGAAGGAAGAGAAAAAAAGAAAAGAAAAGGAAAAGATTTCTTGAATAGTGGCTATAACGTTTTAATAAATGAACCATTTAATGCTGAATATAATTAAAGAAATCCCACTTGGAAATAAACAATTTCTCAAGTCAGCCAAACAATTTGTTCCATTACATTTTTATCTAAATTAAAATACCTTTTTTCAGACTTTAGTGGAATTTATAATAGATTCATTTTTCTATTATTATTATTTTTTTTATTATTTATTGATAGTTACAATTAATAATGGTACTTCCACAATAACATTTAAATAACGAGTTATAATTAATAATAATATTTTTATTATTAATTAACATAACGAAAATTGAATGATAATAATGATTATGTCGACTTTAATTATTATTTAAAATATTAACTTCAATTACCATCAAATGCAACTACCATTAATTATGAGATAGTTAGCTAATTATGATAGTTACGTATATATTATGGTATTATTAGCAACCTAATAATTTTAATTAAAATCTAATTATTTCCATGACCTAATAATAGTTCTTTAAATTGGAAATTGCTCTTTGACATTTTCACATTATATTTATAAACACGTCAATACTTTTGAAATTCTTCGAATGACTTCGATACGTTAAATTTTTATGTAAATATATCTATATGTGTGTGTATAAATTTAATCGATTTAAAAGACCAACGCCCCTTTGCGTGCATAACGTTCGCGATCTTTGAATTTTTTCTATAAAAAAAATAAATTTAACAGTAATCAATTATTTTAATTGTAATCAATTTTTTTTTGATAATTTTAGATAGTAGTTTATTTCTGTCTGTTGCACGATTTTTTTTCTAAACGATATGATCAGAGGGCGTAACTAATTACTGATAGTGTTTATATTTCTGAAATATTTCATTCGTATCAATTCGTTTTTTAATTCTAATTTATTAAAATATAGAAAGCAGTGAAAAAATATTAGTATTTAATTTATTTATTTATTTATTCATCATAATTAATTATATCGCCATTCGCTGTTATTTTGTATTTTGTATTCATTTTTTAAAAATTATTTTTCACATTTCTTGTTCTTAATTTTTTTGCTCCTTCGGTTTTTTTATTATTTTTTTTCCTTCGGCTATTAGTGTTTTGTTATCGAGTATAATTATAGTATTAATTATATAAATAAATAATGATGTATCTTATTAGAATTATAAAATTAAAATTATTTATTTATTTATAAAAATAAAAATAAAAAGAAAGAAGAAATGAGTTATAAATGAATTAAAAAGAAATTGTAATTAAAGAAAAAAAAATGAATGGAAGATTATTTTGAAAGTAGACACGTATTTGGTATTGTATATGATTGAACTATGCTAATCTTAAGTGTGATATTAAATGAACTAACTATGTTGGCGTGTACAAAAGCAGATATACATTTGGACATTCATATCTCCTCTCTGGAGACACTGCTGGCTGTCCCTGTGAATCATCAGTCAAGCATATGTACTTGCTCCAACACTGTGTCAGATATGATTGTATTATCATTTCCACCGTATGCATGCAAAACGATGCCAGGCAAATAAGAATTTAATTAAAAAACCACATTAATCAATACAGCAAAAAGCTAATTTCTAAAAACATTCTTTTCTTCTCAAATAATATGCAATTTACATCATAAATTTTTTTTTGCCAAGTATTTCTTTATTTAAAAATTCAACATACAAGAATTTTTATTATCACTTCTAATAACTATAATTAACTACCAATTCTATATAACAAATTATTTAAATTCTTGTTAATGGAGTGTCAAGTACCATTGTTTCAATTGGTAACGATTGTAGCAAATATTTTTTTGAACAGCTACAACAAAAATCCAAAATTGTTATTTGTTTTCAAAATTTCAATTAGTAAAAATATTTACTGATTTTGTATTAGTGACTGACTTTTTGCTTTTGGATGAGTAAATTTAATTTTACTAATGTAGTAATTTCTACTAATTTATTAGTTTTTACCATTCAAAAACAAAAAGTCAGTCACAATTTTTAGTAACAAAAATGATTGTTATAGTAACTGTAACTGTTGTTAATATTCATTTGTTAATAGTTTTCATGAACGACAATTGTTAGTAATAACTAACAATTGTCGTTCGTGAAAACTACTAACAAATAAAATTTTAAAGAAAAACGGTTGTAATTGAATTTAATTGAAAAATTTGTTATAATAAGAATAATGGAAGTTATTTTAATGATAATGACACTAAATCGAAACTGCTTGTGTAGCGTGACGATTGAGAGGATGTCATGACACTATTATTGTATTTGAAGATATTTAACTAAAGCCCTGATATAATAACGTTTAAATTGGTGAATTAAGAACAATATTATGTTTCGACATTGTCCTGTTGATTCTGTGAAAATTAATTCTAAATTGGTTTGGCTTATGTTTTACTCCTGTCTGTCTCGTATAATATACCAACTCCCATTTCTACTGGAGAATAGTGCTCTAACTTAAAATTGTCAAGTTTAATTAAATTTTATTGCTCCTGTATAGATATAGATATATTTCTATTTGAAATGATAACGTCTTGGAAAATTAGGTCGAGAGGAGCCAACTTGAGTGGCTCACACCTTGCTCTCTCTCTCTCACTCTCTAGCTATATAAAAGCCAAGCATGTCTATTGGGTTAAGAAGCAAGAGACTCGGGATTTCTCTGCAAAATATTATGACTTGAAATTTCATATAAAACTTGTGAAGAGATGATCCTTATTATTATTTTTTTTTGTTTATGAAATAGAAAATAAGTTCTTAAATTCAAAGGCGTAAGAAGATGCGATGGACTTTTTTAATCTAAATTAATTTTTTGAGATTTAGTTATGTTGTAGTTGATATACATTGATTTGGTACGAACATATAATTGGAAACGTTCTCTCAATAATGTTCCTTATATTATTTGTAATATTTAGTGTTAGTAATCAAATATAAATCATCAATTTGCAACAATCATAATTTTCGACAATAGTTAGAAATTTTTTCCTAGCCAACAAAATGCCAACAAAACAACTTATGTTATTAAATAAATAAATAAATAAATAAAAGTCGAAGAAAAATATTACAACAATCTAATAAAAAAATGTCCCTCATGATTAAAAGTAATTACATATTAAAATGAGTCGTTTTGATATATATAATTAAACCTGTTGACAAAATGCTCGCGGCCTGATTAACGCAGCAATAATTAAGAGTCAAGGGGTTAACTGTTATTTTGTGATCCGCATAATTGCTGATAAGAACCCTTTAATTCCAAAGTGTGGAGATTGATAAAATTATATCTAACCACTATCATAATGAAGCGCTGACATTTTTTTTATATCTCAAGATAACGAAAAAATTTAATTAAATTCTCTGGAAATCAATTATTTTAATTGAATTTTAGTATTTTTCTTTTTATTCATTATTGCCTCATAAAAAAATTTTTTAAATATTGTCGTCAACATTTCAATTATCTTTATAAATGAATAGCAAAATTCTTCAACAAAAATTAATTATTCTCAGGAATTTTTATAAAGTTCATTGTAAAATTCAATTATTTTCATTAACAACAAAGTTTATCACAAGAATTCAATAAAAAATCTGCATTTTTTATACTTTTAGTTAAAAATTCTATGAAACTAAAATTTCACTTAAAATTGAATTGTTAACAAATGGATTTAAAAATTCTCAAAGAAGAAAATAATTGTAATAGAACATTCTTTGAATATCTAATAATTTTTAGAGTAAATCAGAATGTTCTTTAGGGCCAGGGAAAAAGTCGAAAATTTTTTCTGGAAATCAGGGAAAAACAAAATTAAATTTTTGTGGCAATCCTGTATTATTTTAGTTAGTAAGAAAATATTTAGTATAATTTAAGTAGATTACAGTTTTCTTGAAAGAATACAATGGCCATACGAAAGTAGATCAAATTGAGACAAAAGACCTCAGAAAAACTGTGATAGTAATAATAATAAAATTCCAATCATTATTATTATTTAGCTATTATTATAGTATTTATTATTCTTGTTTTATTGTGAATTATTATAGTATTTATTGTTACTTGCTTTTATTATTTTTGTTTTTGATTTATTTTGATTCTTTCCATTTTTGAGTGATTAATAAAACAATTATTTATTTGAATCATTGATTGCAGATATTCAACGAGTTATTACAAGGGTCATCCTCGGGGATTAATTATTTATAAACCCGAGACAACACCAAGCATTTCGGGTAATTCAAGCATTTCGCCAGCCTCAGTTGTGTCCGAATTTGCAATACGAACTGGCAATGATTCCTCTTCCTCCTCATCCTCCTCTTCTTCTGCTGCCTCTTCTTCGTCGAAAGTTGAAACAATTTCATTGGGGAATTCGGGTGGCACGTCAATGGGAATAGGAAATCCATCAATTTCAAATACTTCTATGCCGAACGTTACAGAGACGACAATTCAACAGCAATGTCCTCTTATTCCACCAAATCTTGGTAAGCAATTCTCTTTTATATACCTATAGATATGGGAGATAAAGATCTTTGCTTTACAAATACCACTCGACTCTCCCCATCGTGTCGGGCGACAATGTCGTCGTCTTCGTCGTCTTCGTCGTCGACGATGGACTTTCAACTTGTTCTCAAAATTTAGATTTTGAGAACAAGTTGAAAGTCCATTTACTTGGATGAGTTGTTCCCTTATCGAGTCGCAACGCTAATGAATCCAAAGTGAGAATTTCGAGTGGGCTGGGAAATAACTTTTTCACCTACTGTTTAATTCGCACGATTACAATAATTAAAAGAAACTTATGGGTGCAAAAAAAAGCGGAAAAAAAAGTTTATTTTAAAGACTAGTATTTGGAAATAATTGTCAAGTTTTAATTAAACTTGCTGACAATGACAAAACTTAAACGGCTGTGAAATTGAATTTTTTTTTTCATTTTCACATTCATTGTTGACTGACAACTTGGGAAATTATTTTCCCTTTATGAACAAAAACTATTTTATTTAATATTTAATTGTTTTGTTTGCAAAGTCTCGCATGAAAAAATCAATATCATCATAGCGTTGTTTTTTTAAGATAAACACAATTTTTTCAGTTTAAATTTAAAATATTAAATGACTGGGAAAAGTTTAAAAATACGTTAATTACACCTAAAGCATTTAATGAATTGTAAAAGTAGCTAATTGTAAAAATATCAATATCAATTGTAAAAATATAGCTAATTTCAGGTAATAAAATAAAACCAAAGTTGGTTCTAACTAAACTGATACTTATTTTCTCGCAGGTGGATTTTTTTCGGAAAATACCAATGATTATAATTATAATTTATAAGTAAAGAAAAATGAGAAAAATACAAAGAACAGAATAAAATTAAAAAGAAAGGGAAAATTTCCCTCGCAAGTAAAATAAAATTTGCATTGTAGAATTGATATTTACATTCGAAAAGAGCTTTTGTACTCTTGAAACAAATTCAAAGAAGTTTCTTTTAAAAGCCATCTACTTGGAGGTAAAATGGAAAAGCTTTCTTGTTTCCTATTGGATCCTGTGTAAAAGTAGAAAAACAAAACAAACAAAAAAAAGATAGTAAAGTTTATATCTCTTTTGTTATTTTGCAAACTGTCTATATAGTATTGCAAATATTTCTTTGAATAGAAAAAACGATGGAACATTAAGAGAAATTAAATATTGCAACAAAGTCTTTGAAACATTTTTTTCAGTATTTAATTGAAAAGTTTAGTTCTTTTAAAGTATTACACCAAGTAACTTTTTTAAATTATTCTTTTTCACTTTTTTCTATTTTTTCAATTTTTATTTCAATTCTCTTTGGTACTGTGTAAGTACATATAATTAATACTACAAATGTACAAATTGAAATGAGAGTCTTCTCGAATATCAGATCGTTAACTTAGGCAAGCAATTAGTTTTCGGACTAATTAGAAACAGGTTTAATCATGTAGGTAATTAATGCCCTTTGTACAATGTATCGGATCAATTTGATGGATATGATTATTGTTCGTATTTTTTTTTTATTTCTAGATTGCAGGGCTCGAACTAGGTCCGTAAATTTGCCTAAAGTCCGTAAAAGTCAGTTTTTTTTTTTAAAAAGTCCGTAAAGTCCGTAATTTGAATATTTAATTGAGAAAAGATGAAAAGTTTGTAAATTGTACGATATAATTTGGAGAATTTTAAACAAATTGCAAATTATTGTAAAAAATCAATTATTTTCAAAAGTAATAAATTCTTCGCAAACATTCAATTATTTTCAAAAATTAGAAAAAAAAATTTGTCAAAATTTCAATTATCTTTATAAATAATAAAATTCTTCTCTGAAATTTAATTATATTTTCAAAAATTTGAATAAAATTTTTAGCAAAATTTCAATTATTTTCAAAAATTTTACACAATTCCATGATTTTCAATATCTAATATTTTAATAAAATTTTCCAAAAGAATTCTTCGCAATCATTTAATTATTTTGTATTTTTATAAATAATAAAATTTTTACAATGATTCAATTATTTTCGTAAATAATAAAAATGCTTTTTAGGAATTCAATTATTTTCATAAATAATAGTATTCATCACAAGAATTTAAATATTTTTAAAAAGAAATAAAATTCAATTATTTTAAAAAATTTTAATAAAATTCTTGGCAAAGTTTCAATTTTTTTTAATACAATTTTAATCAAATTCCTCGAAAAATGTAATTATTTTTGAAAATTTTATTAAAATTCGTCAAAAGAATTCAATTATTTAAGAATTTATTAATAAAATTCTTTATGAGAATTCAATTTTAAGAAACATACAATAATTACTCAATAAATTGTTTTTTTTTGTATTTAAATAATTGAATTCTAGCAGAATTTTCAAATAAAAATAAATTTGAAAATTGATTTCAGTTAAAATTTTAGATTATAATTGAATAATATTAAATTATTAAATATTAAAAAATATTTGAAAAGGTTTCAAATTATAATCTTTTAAAATCTGAAACATTTAATTATTCAATAAATTATTTATTTGCATTTTATTTGTATTTAAATAATTAAATTCTCGTAGAATTTTCTAATAAAAATTTGATTTAAAAATCAATTTCAGTTAAAATTTGAGATAATAATTGAATTTTGGAGAAGATACAAATAATTGCAATTTTTAAAAATAATTAAGTTGTTAAATTTAAAAAAGGTTTGAATAATTGAAATTACGTAAAATTGAATATTGTTGTAATTATTAATTATTGTTGTACTTGTAATTATTGAATATTGGATTTGAAAATAAATTGTCGCAGAACTTTTTTGAAAATTATGAAAAATAATCGATTTAAAGAAGAATTTTAATTAAAAATTCTTGTAAATAATAATTGAATTGTAAATGATTTTATCTTCATGTTTTATAGTTATGAAAAAATTAATTTATCGTTTTAAAATAAATTCTCTTATTTGACTCGGATTGATTATATTTTTGTCGCAATAATTGGTCCGTAAAGTCTATATTTTTAAATAATTTAACTGGTTCGAGCCCTGAGATTGATATATTTGGTATAATAATATTTTTTTACTGTATAAATAAATATAATTTATATAAATATTTATTTATTCAACAAAACTATTATTTTAAAATTTTTAAATTGTCTCAAATTGTTTTTAGTTTAATAAATTACTTTATAGCTATAAATAATCATTTTGTTGTTTTGTTATCGAATTTATGTGGAGCTTTTTACTTTATATCTATAAATATGCCGCTTTAAATAATGGAGCTTTTGATCGTGAAAATGAAATTCCGATTGAAATTTGATTTGAATTTATTTTTTTCCAGTTGGACCGGTTCTCGTCATTAAAACACCGCCGGAGCTTTCAATCATGGAGAAAAATTTCACAAGAGTGAAACCAGGCGGTAGAGGATTTCCCACGAATTGTATCACCAGACATCACGTTGCCATCATCATTCCATTTCGCGATAGACCTCAACATTTGCAAACACTTCTTTACAATTTACATCCAATTCTACTGCGTCAGCAAATCGACTATCAAATTTTCATTGTCGAACAAGAAGGTGAGTTCTCACACAAAAATTTTTTCTATTTTTCTTTCTATGCAAAAACTATATTTTCTGGTTGAAAAGAATTTTCCTTTCAAAAGTAAATTTGATTCAAAAGTCTATCAATTCTTTTGATTCGAAAGTCTATCTATTCTTTTGATGCAAAAAAATTTGAATTTAGAGAAAAATCGACGGGGAAATTGAATTTAAAGGTAAAATTAGAAGAGGGAGTAATTCTGTGAAATGTTGCGATTGGAGAAGAAAAAAAATTGTAATTTTTGTCGGTCACAGTAATTTGGGAACATTACGGTTGAAATGCCTGAAAGACTTGTAATACCGGCTCGTAAATAGGAATGTATGACATCCTTTGCCACTAATCACTTTTGAAGTGGATTTTCCATTGGAGTTTGCGCCTGCATAAAGTCGAACATGGTCCCATCTTGATCAAGATCGCTTTCGACTCACCATGCTCAATTCAATTAGCACACTTCTACATCGATCCAGAGAGAGAGAGAGAGCACATTGCACAGTGTTGAATTCCCCAGTGTGTGGTTTGCTCTAGATTGCAATTTCAACCAATCGAATTAATGGATAGCACCTCCACAAATCCTTCTATTTTCCGAAAAGATAATTCCAAAAACCAGCGGAACTTTTGATGATATCAACAATTCTTGTTGAAAATTCAGCTGACTCAATTTATCAATTTTTATCAACCAACGTCACATTTTCCCCCAATTATGTGTTTTTCTTTATTTTCTAAACAGTTTTTCTGCAGATATCAAATTGAGATTCCTTTTTTTGATTGATTTTTTTTTGTTTTGATTCCTTTTTTCTCTCAATTTGATATCTGCAGAAAAACTGTGAATCTAGAGAATTTATTAAATTTTAATTTAGAAAATAAATTAAATATTTGATAATTTTAGACTTCGCACCCTTGAATTAATTTCAAAAAAGTAGCAAAAAGTAGCTATCGAAAAAATAAAATAGACGACCAAAACACTCGCTTTAGAATAACTTCACAAAACTTACAAAAATTCCATATTCTATATTTTATTTTCCTGATTTTTTCCTAATTTTCATAAAAAAATATTTACTTCTTTCTCATCCTGCTAATAAATTAAATTCCTGCTAAACGATTAATTTTATTATTCATGAAACAATTTAAATATTTATAAAAATAATTTAATTCTTGCGAAGAATTTTATACAAAATTTTAAATCATTCATTTCTTTCGACTAATTTTATGCAAAATTCTAATTTAAATAATTAAAGTCCTGAGAAATTTTTATTATTCATGAAAAGAATTAAATTCTTACGAATTCTTACGATTTTTACAAAAATTTTTTAAATAATTGAATTCTGTTTGGAAATTTTATAAAAATAGAAGAATCGAACAATTTAATTAAAATATTTGAAAATAATTGAATTTTTGTGAAAAATTCTAATATTTTTGCAAATGATTGAATTCTTCCAAAGAATTTTAAAAAAACATTTTTAAATAATTGATTTTTTTCAAAGATTAGAAATTAAATTTTTAAGAACAATTACATTTTTTGAGCAATTTCTGCAAAATTGGTATTAAAAATAATTGAAATCCTACGATGAATTTTATTATTTATAAAAATAATTGAATAATTGCTTAACATTTTATTAAAATTTTCAAAAATAATTGAATTCTTGTGATGAATATTGTTATTTATGAAAATAATTGAATTTTGCAAAGAATTTTATTAAAATGACTCAAAATAATTGAATTTTCAGGAATAATTTAGTTATTTATCGACATAATTGAATTCTTGGTAAGAATTTTATTAAAATCTAAAAGAATAATTGAATTATTTTTAAAAAAATGTAATTAAAATTGTATATTTAATAATTGATTTCTTTCAAACAATTTTTAAAAAATTTTTAAAAATAATTGAATTGTTGCAAAAATTTTATTAAAATGTTTAACAAGAATTGAATTTCTGTGAAAAATTTTGTTATTTTTGAAAATAATTGAATTCTTGTGATGAATATTGTTATTTATGAAAATAATTGGATTTTGCAAAGAATTTGATTAAAATCCCTCAAAATAATTAAATTTTCGGGAATAATTTTATTATTTATCGACATAATTGAATTACTAAACTACTATTGAATGAATGCTAAGAGAATTTAAAACTACCAGAGATTAAAACAACCAACGAAGGAAAGAAGCAAAAATTTCAATCTTATCACCGGTTTAATTTTAAACTATACCTAAAACTACCTTTGATTTAAAATAGCAAAAGTTAAAACTACTGTTCAAAATGATTGTTTGTAAAAAAAAAAGTTATTGATTGTAACAACCAAGAAACGAAAATATCATTAGAGACAAAATAGCAAGAAAGAAAAGCAACAAACCAAAAAATGCGAATTATTATTATGCAGATACTAAAGATTTGATTTCCATACAACTTAGTTAGAAAACTGGTGTTTTCTTTCGAAATATATATATTCTAATTGTGGAAGTACCGAGGAAAAGAAAAAAAAAAGTAGAGACCGATTTTCCCATAAGTCGAAACCATTATAAGACACGAAGTCCATTTTGCATAGCGATCGAAGAGTATTATCCATTTAGCGAAACTCGATGAATAATTCAAAGCAGCTCCCTAACCAAATAGGTTTGCCATTTCCAAGTTAACATTTCTCAAGTTTGTCGATGTCCAAACCTAAACGCTCCAGTTATTTAGTCAAGTCTTCTGCACGGAATATCAATTTTCTTTATCTTAAAACCATAAAGATATTTAATCTCAACCCCATTCGCTGTCGTTCTGCATTTTATTTTCTATATCTTTGCATTTCATTGTTTTCATTTCCCTAAAATCATTTTTCAAATTTCTTATTCTCTTCGACTTTTTTTGCTTCTTCGGTTATTCTTTTACTAAAATTATTTTATCTTTCCTTCAAAAAAATTTATTTTTAATAAATTTATTGTGTTATTGTTTTGTTATCGAGTATGGTTATTGTGGTATATTTACTAGACCGAAGGATGGGGAATTTTTTGGAAAAAAAAATTTCAGTTGGGACAATTTTTACTTAATTGAAATTTGAATTAGAAAAATTTTAATTCCGGCGAATTATTATTTGGGAAAATTTCTATTTAGACAGATTTTTATTCAGTAGAGCTTTTTTTAATACAATTTTCAATCGAATTTAATTTTTATTGCGGAAACACTCATTTAGACGAATTATTATTTAGTAGAATTTTTTTATTCGGACTTTTCGTTTAAAAGAATGTAAAAAATTTTTTTTTAATAATTCTATTTAAATGAATATTTATTACAAAGAATTTTCAATTAACAAAACTTAACGTTTATAGAAATTTTATTTCACTGAGTGTAAAGTAGTTTTTTCTTTAAAAAAGCTTCAATTTTGTAGATTTACTTCTCCTTTCTCTCCGATAAGAAAAATATTTATTTTCACTTCCAATATTTTAAAAAAGAGAAAAAAAAGTTTAATTTTTTAAAAAGAACAGGAAATTGAAATTTCACAAAGAAATCTTGAAAAATTCAATACCAATTTAGAAAAAAGAATAAAAATCTTGTTGACATGCTTATTATTCAAGTGCTTTGTTGTAAAAAGCGTCTAGCAGTCTATAATACGTGTCGAAAGTTTGTTTACAAGAAAGATTAAACTTTATTAAAGGAAGATAAACAAGAGCGGGAAAAGAGAAAAGAGAGGATGAGGAGAAAAAAGGGAGAGGGGTGAAGCAAAATCTTGTGAGGTTTTTACGTAAAAGGGTTGAAGTTGTGCTTCTATAGTTTCTTGCAGGTACTGCATTGCGGTTCCTTTATAGACAAGATATAGAAGAGAAAATTGACGTTAATAACGATTTAATTTAATCCTTGTAATAGCACAACTCTGGTTTTTTACCAATTCTTCGAAAAAATAATTTTCTTTGTCTAGTATTTAATAATTTATTTTATTATTATTATTTTTTTTTGAAAAGGGAGAAACGATTTTTTTTATTTACATGTAACGTTACATGTGTATAAAATAAATTTCATCAAATAGCACTCTAGTTAAATTTATACTGTCGCACTTGAAATTGCGACATAATTTTGAATTTCAAATGTTGCTAGACATTTGAGATTAAGGCCAAGTCAGAAACGACGAATCCTCTCTTTACATAATTGCTTTGGCTTGCATATTTTAACAAAAGGAGTGAAAAAACTAAAATGCTATTCGAGTTAAAAAATTTTAAATTATCAGAGGAACGGTGTTTTTTTAGGATGAGGGCACTGTTATTTTTAAGTTATGCAACTTGACAGTTTATGCTAATTTTTATTTCGCTGGTAATTCTCGACATGTTTTGATAATATCTTCTAGTTCAAAATGTTGTGATTTGAATTTAAATCAATTACTAAATTTTCAATTAATTAATTTAAACTCAACTTTTTGTGATTTTAATTTTAATTTCTATTCGTTTTAATTAAAAAAGATCGATCTTTGAAATACAGTATTTCAGTTTTTTTGTATTTTGTAAACTCTGGTTGTTTTAATTTTTTGTACTAAGAGTTTATTTTTTATATTTTTAAACATTTTTACTTTACACAAAGACTGAATTGTAAATTTTCGATAATTCTGTTTTCTTTTATTTTATCTCCGTAAAAAAGCGATGTATAATGAAATTGTCAACATTTAAAATTTATAGCGTTTGAGAAACTACAATTAATTAAAAGGAGTGATCGAAACTTTCAACAATTGAATGTACTAACAATTGAAACTGCAAGCAATTGAATTGGAGAGAAAGGGAGTTTGAAAACGATTTATCTGACTGAGATTGTGAGGTTTGTATTCGAGGAGGTTTTGTTATCCAAGATTAACATTCGACTACTCAGTTCGTGTTTTCAACGTTTATGTGTATAGCTATAGTCACAAGAGGGTTAAGTGAGGTGCAAAGTTCAATGAAACGTCTTTAATATTGCATATAGAGAGGAGGTTTCGTTTCCTTTGCTTCGATATAAGTTTCCTCATCATTCTTGAAGGATTACTAGACTGTATTTAATAAATCTAGTGTTGAAATTGTTACTAGTAGTAAAAGTCAGACTTATTTTCTCTGAATATGTTCCGAAATCAGTAGTAGAGGTCAATATTGGTCAGACTCGACGAATGGTGTTGTAATTAGTGGAAAAATTGACAAAATTACTAGTAGTAATTTTGAAATTAGTAGAAACGAGTAGAAAGTAGTAAAAACTAGTCGAAAGTAGTACAAATTTTGTCCACATTATTGAAGTAACAAAAATATTTCAGTCAGACAAGAAAAGAATAAATTTCATGCGCAATATCAGTAGTAGAAGACAATTTAAATTAGACAAAAATAATTCCCATTTTACAATCACTGATGGCAGCCGAACACAACATTAATTATTTAGAATTCTCAAAATTTCCACAGTGGAAAAAGTCATTTCTAGCCAGACTAAATGCCAGATTAAATGCTATTAATTTTAAATACCACTAGTAAGTGACGTTTACAATCGGAGAAAACATGTGAAATTATTTTTTCTCACGTTACAGTGATAGAAGAATGTTTTAGTCAGACAGGAAGATAAAATATTTATTTTCACTCGAGCAAGAGTAGTGAAAGTCAATATTGGTCAGACAGAATTTATAAACTCTAAGTAAAAATTAACTCGAGTTGGACGCAGATAATTTTTTTTCAATTTCTACGACAGTTGAATGTCATATTCCATCAGACAAAGTATTTTAATTTCTTATTATGTTTAAATGTCAGTGGTGAAGATCAATAATTGTCAGACAAAAATGTAAAAGTATTTTTTCAAGAATTGGAAAATTATTAAGTTTTACTGAGACTGAAGGATGAGAATTATTGAAATGAAAATTATCATCAGTGGTAGAGGTCAATATTGGTCAGACTAAATTTATTTCGGAATTAAGTAGTAAAAGTCAATGTGAAGTCAGCGACATAAACTACCAATTTTCGAAAAGAGAATAAGAAAGTCATTTTTAAATAATTAAACTTGTTTTACTTTTGGAAATTTTAACTTAAGTAAAAAATAGTAAAAGTCAACCATATAGTCAGACTAAAGCAATACTTGTTGTCAAGTAGCAGTAAAAGTAACAAATAGTCTTGTACGAAAAAAAGGATAAATTTTCTCTCAAAATTTAAAATTATTCCAATTTAGAAAAACAGTAGTAAGATCAGAGTTTAGTCAGACAATTGTTAAGGCTATAATTTTGTCCTAGCAGTAGATATAGATACTTCTAGTCAGACAATTACTATCTTTTAGTTATTTTAGCTCTTGATTTAAGTACAATTAAAACATATTTTTGTCTGACTAAAACTATCCTCTACTACTGAAAATTCAAAATTTAACCCGAATAATCTAATGTAACCGAATAATTTATTAATAATAATAAAAAAATCTTTATTTTTACTACTTTCAATCAGATATAATTTTATTTTACAAGTTTTATTTTTTTTTATATTTTCAAACAGTGATAAATTGTAATTTTACACTCGTAGTTTTTTCAAACTCATGCTCCTTGGCAAATAAGTAGTAAAGTTTCATTTAAGTCAGACAAATGATTCTACAGTTTCCATTTTATTATTTCAGTGAGTATCAAATTTCTTTTTTTCTAAAATAAAACTTTATTTCCAATTCTTGAATTAAAGAAAATTAATGAAATCGACTTTTCGAAGATAAATTATCCCGATGTCAGCACACACACATTGTGTACCATGATAATCGTTATTCTTCATTGATCCAGACAGGGATGCTGAGGCAATATTGTCTTTCTTCTAAACCGAAAATTTCAAATTTTCTTTTGTATTGACTCATCTAGTGAATCATTATGACTTATAATGACGTTCTCATGTCATAATTTATAAAACAATTATAAGTGTCATAATAATTCGAAAATATGAATTAATTTAAAATTTTTAAAAAATAGAGCGAAAATAAATAAAAACTTTGATTATTTTGAGACGACATTGAAAGAAATATACTCACTATTTTTCGAGGTGTAAACAAAAATACTCTTCTAAAGAGAAGAATAAAGAAAATACAAGCAGAATTTCCGATATATACATACAACTGAACTATAGTAAATAAATTGGAAGCGTTTAAATTTCAAATATACGTGAATCGAATTTCGAAAGAGTTAAATAACCAAACCATTTACTTCGATATCTTTAAACTCACTCATGTGGAAATAAAAGATTAAAATCATTTCTTTTAATTAACAAATGATCTTTTTTTTATTTAATTATTATGTTTTCGCTTATCTTTTTTTTTGGTTTTTCATTGAAATGGAGTAATTAAAAAAATATATTGAAAATTTTTCAATATTTTTTTAATTACTCCATTTGTTAGAAAATTCGATAAAAAAAATAAATTAAATTTTAAAAAAGTAAAATGGTTGAAAATTATTAAATTTTAAAAATATTTTCTGATGGTTGAATAAAAAATAAATGAAAAAAAAATTTGGAAAATATTTTTTTATGTCGGTATAAAAAAGTGGAAAAAATAAATTAAAAATTTAAACAATATTCTTTTTTATTGTTAAATATAAAGTTGTAAAAGCATCGAAAATCTCGAAAAATCAAATCGAGATTAAAAAAACTAAAAGAAAATAAAAAAAATACTGTTTTAATAGAAAATAGAAAAAACTAAAGATAATTTAAAAAATCGTTTTTTATTGTAAACGTAAAATAAAAGTAATTAATTATTTGAACAGCAGAGATTAGAAACATTTAAAACAATGTCTTTAATTTTTTTATACGCTGAAAATTCAATTTATAGGAATGTTCAATTATTTCTTTCACAAAATTAGATTCAAAGAAAAGAGAAAAAAAGGCAAATTTCATTATATATGTGGTAAAGATAAAAGAAAAAAGAAAAAAAATAACAGCTGACTTTGTTATATGGTAAAAGTAAGGAAAAGAAAAATACTTGATTTTTGTCGGTGAAAAAAAGTTAATGGCGTTTCCGCAGATGTTTCTTCTTGTGTGTAGGAGAGATTTTTCGTTTCCGGAGATGTGTCTTCTTTTCGTCTCTTTGAAAGTCCCTGCGAGTGACGGCGGTTTCACGAATTGTGCACAAAAACTTGTAATGTGTAGGAAATTACGTTGAGGCTAAAGGTTGATAAGACATCTAGAACGACGGTTTTGCAAATATACTGCACACATGATTAACGAGCAAAACTTTGCCTGTGCTTTGCCACCAAGCAGAAAATTATATACATATACATATATAAATATATATACAACGAGTCCAAAGACTCGTAGCTTCAATGAAATTTCATTAAATATTTCTTAACAGTTTTTTTTAGTAATTACCTTCCTTAAAAAATACTAAAATAGTAAAAGATTTTCAAAAGAAAAATTATTATCTTTACAGTTTTCCTACTAAGGATATCAAATTGAGACAAAAAACGAATCAAAAGTGTTGTGTTTTTAATAAATGAAGATGCTATAGATCAGTAGTAAAAGTCAATTGAAGTCAGACTGTGTATATAAAATTACAAACTGATTGTAAAAATGAGGGTAATTCCAGTAGTTTCAGTCAATTATAGTCAGACAAAATGTTTTAAAATATTTTTTCACTACTTGCAGTAGAAAAAAAATTTATAGTCAGATTGAACGTTACTTTTGCTTTTGATATATCAAAATTGAGTTATAACTCAAGATCAGTAGTAGAAGTCAATATTAGTCAGACTGGATTATTGGCATTATAAGTAGTAAAAATGATTGTTTCTACGTCTAACTAAAATGGTATCTATCTACTGCAGAAAAAATTGTAACACTACTTAATGTCTGACTTAACATCTACTTTTACTACTGATCGTTTTTCTACATTGAAATGAAATTTTTTCTATTTTACATTAATTTTTTCTTACTAATTTACAATTTTATAAATTATGTCTGACCAAAATTTATTTCTACTACTGATTATTAAAAAATGTTCTCTGATAAAAATAATTTTAAATTAATTTTAATTAATTTTAATAAAATTCTAATAAATATTTTAAACTTTAAATTTACTATAAATATAAACAGAAAAAAAAAATTTATTTTTTAGCCACTAAAGTATATCATGAAATTTCTTCTGCTGAAAAATATTTTTTCATCAGAAAATATTTCTTCATTTGCTCTAAAAAAAGAAATCTAAAAATAGTATATTAGTTGAATGTCGGAAGATTTTTCTGAGGAAGCTTTTTATGCTTCCTCTCTCTCTCTCTTGCACGTTGAAATTGTGTAGGTCACGTGGTTAGGAAAAAAAAACTTGGCAATCTTCTACTACCTACGGCCCAGTTTATCAAGACTTCTTGGACACCATGTTCTAGGATAAGGAATTTCATGATAAAACTTTAAGGCACTAAATTAGAACAGTATTTTGTAAACTTATAAGTGATGTTCTTTTCTCAAGTTTTCCTCATTTATGCAACGATTATAAAAAATTACAGCATGAGAAAATGTAAAAGTTTAAAAAGTATCCACTTGAAAGTCAAACCGATAAACTTTTATATATTCTTTGGATGAATTATATTCGAGGAAATTGTCTTCGCAGGAAGAAAAGAAATTTTTTTTCGAGTCCATTGAGAGAGGAAAATAAAATTGGCTGTTTAATGGAAATATTTCAAAACGACGTGAATGTTTGTTTTCTGAAACCAATACTAATTTTTTTATTAATTAATTAATTCCTTAACTTTTTGCTTTTGAATTAGTAAATTCAATTAATTTTACTAATAAATTATTTCTACTATTTTTTTTGGTAAAAATGTACTAATTCAAAAGCAAAAAATAAGTCACTCATTCAAATTTTAAACAAATTTGTAAACATTTTTTACCAATTCAAATTTACAGAGTTCAATAATCTGTTCAATAAATTTAAATAATTTATTTGTCTTTTTATAAAAAAAAATGGTTAAATTTCGAATAATTTATGTTTGAATGGAAAATAAAATTTTATAAAAATTCAATTTGTAGGTACGGAGGCATTCAATCGTGCAATGCTGATGAATGTGGGCTACAAGGAAGCTCTGAAGGAGAGATCATTTGATTGTTTCATTTTTCACGACGTCGATCTGCTTCCCGAGGACGATCGAAATCTCTACAATTGTCCCGAGCAACCAAGACACATGTCTGTCGCAATAGATAAATTTAAATACCGGTAAGTATTCTTTTTTCTCTTTCAAAATTTGATCAACGAATTTTTTCAAAGAATTTTATCGAAAAATTTGATAATAATAGAATTCCTTCGAAGAATTTTATTATTTAGGAAAATAATTCAATTCTGACGAAGAATTTTGATAAAATTTTTAAAAATTCTAATTAAATTCTTTTTGAAGAATTTCTTTGAATTTTTTTTTTTAAATAATGGAGTTTTTTTTAACAATTTTAGTTAAAATTTTTTAAATAATTGAATTTTATGAAGAATTTCTTTTAAGTTTTTTAAATAATCGTGTTTGTTAATAATTGAAATTGAACATTTCATTATTGAATTTTATTAAAATTTTAAAAAATAATATGTTCGTGAAATTTTATTAAAATTTTGTTTAAAAATAATTGAATTTTTGCAGAAAATTTTACTATTCGTAAAAATAATTGAATTCTTACGAAGAATGTTATTATTTATGAAAATAATTGAATTGTTACAAAGAATTTTTCTAAAATTTTTAAAATTAATGAACAAGAATAATCAATTAGTGAATTAGTTAATAATTGAATTTGTTTAAAGTTTGAATCTGAAAGTATTCAAAAATTCATATTTGAAAATAAAAAATTTGGTAATTTGCATAATAATAATAAGTTGAATATCACGTTCCGCGCCTAAAATTTGCTAGTAATTTAATAAATTATTTCCATATTCTATTTTTTAATAATATGTGTAATTAATTTAATCCTAATATTTTTTTATCTAATAATAAAATAAAGAAAGAATAGGGAAAAATTGAAATTGGAATTAGGAAATTTTCGGTAAAGTAAAACTTTCATGTGAAAGCAAAGTTTAATACATTTTAGATTAGTTGTTACTCAAAATTTTAATATTTTATTTATTTATTTATTCAGTTTAGTCGGGCAAAATAAAGTTTGCAAAATGGAAATTATTTTTTAATTCTTTTTCTCTAATTTTTGTTTTTAAGTATAAAAATAAATATTTACATATTTATTACCTATTCATCTACTAATTTTGATGATTATTTGCAGATTACCTTACGCTGATTTATTTGGCGGAGTTTCAGCCATGACCAAAGAACACTTTAAATTGGTGAATGGATTTAGTAACGTATTTTCCGGTTGGGGTGGAGAAGATGACGATATGGCGAATCGTATAAAAGCTCATGGACTTCGAATTTCTCGTTATCCGGCAAATATTGCTCGATATAAAATGCTTAATCACAAAAAGGAGAAGGCCAATCCAAAGAGGTATTTTTCCCCTCTATTTCTCTTTTTCGCATACATTAAAACATATTTCTGATTATTTCAAAAAACTTTAAAACTTCCATTCAATTTTAAATCCTATTTAATTTCTATTTTAAAAAAATCAATTCAGAATAAAAAATATTTGTAGAAAATTAAAAAAAAATTATGATTTTAGGTACGAATTTCTAAAAACAGGAAAGAAGAGATTTGCCACTGATGGCTTATCGAATTTAAAGTACGAGCTGAGAGACAAGCAAAAACCAAAACTATACACTTGGTTGCTGGTAAGACTGAAGACACTTCAGCCCAGCTGATGGCAACATTGGATCGGGTAAAATGTTTTTTTTTACCTCAAAAGTCCAAACAATCTTTTTTCAACTTTTTTTATGCTGCAAAACAAGTTTTTGTGTGTAACTGTACATATTTATATATATAGAGAGAGAAAGAGATGAGATTTTTTGGAAAATTCTTTTTCAAGAAACATCCAATTTTTAGCACTTGAAAAAGAATTTTCAAAACCAAAGTAAAATTTGGTTTTAAAAATTTCGATATTACGAGAAGATTGATTCTATTCTTAAAAAAAGGACACTGATAAATTACGTAACAATTTTATTAAATCATTTCGGATTTAAAAATCCAATTATTAAATAATGAATATTAAATTTTTTTCTATAAATGTAATTAAATCGTAAATTATTATTTTTTTTAAAATAATAATATATAGTAAACTAATTTTTACTGACAAACAGTAATTTGATTAATAGAAATAATAATTTCACGATTACTAATTGTATTTATAATTTAATTTATGATTATTATAATTTATTATTAATTATAATACTTACATAGTAGTAATAAAAATCAAATAATAATTATTTAATTAGTAATGCACTTTATTGAGTGGAAAAATTGTTGTTGCATAATTTGTAAGAATAAAATTTAATTAATTTATTTTTTTACATTACAAGTAAAAAAATAATTTGAAACTATTAATAGGTGAAAAAGAAAAGTTGTTACGTAATTTATTGATAGACCCCCCTTCGCTCTCCCCTTAAGAATAGTTTTAACGATGAGTGATAATGCACGTCTCGAATGAAGTTAAGAATTTTTTCGTGATATATTTGTATGCGCGTGTTCCAGCACTTTGTTAAACAAAACACTGGTGAAAGATTTGTAGATTGGATTTAAAAAGAAAACAGTGTAAATGAAAAAATAGGCACTGATGGTTTCGAGTAATAAGGAAGGAGACGAAACGAAGAAAAAAGAATTTAAAAATTTTTTCCATTTGTAAAATATGTTTTTAATTTGAATTTTATGGAAAAAAGAAGAAAAGAACGCACGTATTTTATATATTTTTTTATTGATAGAGGCATTTCAGTACTTCTAAATTAATAATCGAATTTTAATTATAGCTATATATATATGTATATTACCTCATATATTTATAGTAGACTTGATATATTTTTCAATTGAAAATATTTGTTACAAAATTTTCGCTCTCTTGTTAATATTTTTTTACGGAGCCTGTTAATTTTTCAAAAATTGTAAATTCTTTTTATTTTGACTTTATTACTTTGTTGGTAAAATTATCAAAAAAAGGAAAAGTTTATAGTTCTTTTTTCTTTTTTATTCTAAATTTTTTAATTCTGTATTTTGTTAAATTGTATTCACTCGTTTTGTTTTTAAAAATGTTATCGATGAAAGTAAACAAAAATTGCATTTGTAATCTATAATTTTTATATTTTAAAAATATAATCGATAGGAACTGAAAATATAGGAAGAGATTTCTTTTGTTTTAATTCTGCGTTTATGGAAAGGAAGAAAAATAATCATTCATCTCTCTTCTTGAAATGTAATAAATTTCTAATGATTAGTTTACGAATACAGGGATGATATACTTATAAATTTTAGAATAGATTAGATTAATTTAATCGAATTTCTCAAAATAATGTTAATAGTATTTGGAATTTAAATTTTACAAATTGCAATATTTAACTTTTTTGATATGAATGTTTTAGATTCTTTTTTTGTTTTAATTTGAAATTTGTATTCTTTAATCAATTTTTAGTTTCAACTAGAAAATTGAATCTCCGTTTTGATAAAACATTTTAATTAATTATTATTTGTAAATTATAATTTATTTAATATTTAAATCCAATGGGAAAGTAATTGTCTTCAATAGAGTTAATTCTATATTTTCTCATTTTTATATTATTTTGTCTCTTTTATTAAAACAATTTTTAACAGATCAAGGTTTTCCTCTAAATGAACAAAAAATAGTCAAAAATTTTAAATAGAAAATTTTAATTACTGTATAGGTAGTTTTTATAGAATTTTTTTTAACTATTTTCGTTTTTGAATTTTCTTTTGAATCTCAAATACAAAATTACAATTAATAATTCATTTTATTGAAATAGTTGGTCTAATTAATAAATTACTTTGATTTATTAATTTACAATAAATATAGATTTATTTTTTAAATTCCTTTTCAAACATACATTTCATGTTGTCTGTAATTATGAAAGTATTGATAAAACCGTAAGTCTAGCCAATTTTGATAAAAAATGAAGTAATAAACAATTTTCAAAATTTTTCCATGAGAAATACTGAAAATGTAACGCACTGTTTTAAAACTACACGTCAGATATAATGTTGATTGCTCAAAAGAAAAAAAAAGAAAAATAAAAAAAACTGTGACTAATGTTAAACGTTCTTCCTAAGAGATAAGTTTTCTTAAACACAAAATCTATAAACCTTAGTTTATTGTTTGTGGTTTCGTAATTTTCGATATTAGTTAAATCGTTAAATGATAATTATTTAGCAAATTAATATTATTTTGCATAATTATTTCCATATTAACACTAATGTAATTAATAAATTTTTATACTTAGTTAATGAATAGTTTACAATTAATTAACTTTATTAGGTTTATTAATTTAATTAATTACCATTTCTTCAAAAGAAAGCAAATCAAAATAGTAATTATTTGAAAATTATTCATTTGTTAACAATTAGTTGTTTTTGCGATTTTATTAAATTAAAAAACAATTTCGATTATTAATGTAAGATGCGAATTTCAAATTGTTATTCAATTAAGTCGTTCATGTTAAATTAGTTGTAAAGATGATTCGAAATTATATTTTTTATTATTCTTCGTGTAAAAAAATCTAGTGTTTAAAAATGATTATACGAAACAAGCAAAGAGAACGAGAAAAATTGTACTCGCTGTCGCAAATTTTCCACTTAAAATCATTCCATTATAGTTTATAATATAAATGTTAATTTATATTATTAAGAAACACAAATACCTCCCTTTAATTTTATTAGTTTCTGAATAAATAATAATTAACGCAAGTTAATCGCAATTGTCTTTGTCGAAAATTTATAATTTATAATTATTTTAATTAATTACTCAATAATTTTTTAATTTTTGATGAAAATATCAATTTTGATATTTTTTTTGAAAAGAGAAAATTTTGAATGAAGAAATTCTATCCTAGAGGAAAAAAAAATTTGTATTCCATTCTTGTTTAATTGAAAACTAATTTTTACCTTCTCATCACGTGAGAAATTATTATTATTAATTATTGCCAGTGACTGTTGCGATTAATGTTGTCTTAACTCTTTAGAATTTAAAAATGCATAGCGAAATTTCTTGCAGCAAACAAAAATATAAGCAGACAAAAAAAATTGTATTTAAGCAAGAAGCAAAGACAGATAGTGATATTAAAATTTATTAGACGAATAAGTATAATGGCTAAGTATTTATAATAAATATAATAATATAAATGGTACTAGCTAGGCACACTTATACAGGAAACTATAATTTATTCCTCGTTAACAAAAATTGCTTCCGTTTTTCTTCAAATTCGCAAAGTAAATAAAAATCCAGTAAAAGTTTTAATAGAAAATTGTTTTAGAATGACTTTTTCTTGAATTAATAATTTTTAAAAAATATGTTAAATTTTGTTTATTAGTCACGAGTGCCACTTTCACAAATAAATAAATATTTGTATATTTTCCTTGAAATATAAAATTATATATTAATAAAATGTAAAGATTTATTGAAGCAAGAACAAAAAGTTACCAACGAGAAAAACATCTTCGTTACAATAAATTGTAATTTTTAAAAAAGGCCTTTTAATCAGCTTAAAAATTTAAATGTAATATATTAATTAAATAAACAAGAAAAAAAGGCAAATTCTTTCTATAACTTATAATAGCAGAAATAATGAAACAATATCCATTCGTTGGTTCCTTAAAATTTTCCTTCCAATTTATCTACGGCTTCCTTGCGAGAAGCAAAGCAAAAGAAATGTATAAAGTTGTGAAATTACTCAAACATCATTTATGACATAACAAAACAATAAAAAATAATATTAAACGAAACAAATATTTTATTTATTTCCCTTGTATTGTTCCAATAATTAACTTTATTATTTTTACAAACGTTAATTTGTTATTGAAATTCTTTATTCTTAAATTGTTCATTCTTCATTGTAATTATGAAAAATAAGTTAGTTATTAAAAAAATAGAACTTTAAACAAATCTTAAGTAATTTATATTAAAAAAGATAGTTCTTCGAAAATATGTTAATAAAAAAGGTATCAGGAGAACATAAGAGGTTGGGGGCATTATAGCGCATGCGCAAAATTGGCGATTTCAGAGCTCAAATTTAGGCTCAAATTTAAATTTAGAAGTTTTTTTGAAAAATTCTTATTAGGAGAACAGGAGGTGGTAGTATTCTCAAAATTTTAGATATAATCTACTATTTAAATGTTTGTAATTAAAAAAGTTTTTGTAATTAATAAACAAATTAAAAATTATTTTCTAATAAATTATTATTATTGTTAAATTGATTTGTTTATTTAGTATTATTAACTTTATATTATTATCATTATTAATAATATTTTTATTTATTAGTATAAATTGAAATATTGAAAGTAAAATGAATTTCTTTTTTAAAACAATAAATACACAAGTTTTTTTAATGATTTTTTTTCTTTTATTAATTTAAACCAACAGTGTCGTTTTTCAAGCATTGGTTCAGTTTTTAGCCAATAAATAATAATTAGTTAATATTTCCCATCGCTTGCTTGGGCGATTTGAAAGAAAAATATATGTAATTATTGTAATCGTCAATGACATTTTTATTTTACCTCATGGAGATATTATTACATTTGTCAATAATAATTCTGGCAAAAGTTTTACCGTAGTTCAATAATTTTTTTTCCGCTAATAAAACCATTTGGATAAATTTATAAGGTATTTTACCAAAATTTTTTCATTTTCTTTTTCATTAAGAAAAAAACGTCATTGTACCAACTGTTGGTTCGCTTGTGTAAATCAGAAGAAAAAAATTATTTTTTTTCTTTGACTAAGCACACAAAAGTTACATTGTTATTTTTTTTTTTTGTCACTCACTCTGCTAATAAATTTTAACCAAGTAATTTTACGCAGCATATCATTTGCACAATAATAATCACAATTAATATCGATGAAACAATAAATGATTTTTTTTTCTTTTCTTCTTTTGCGACATCAAATTTTTCGGCACGCATTTCATGTGTGTCACACAAGAGAAAAAAATATACTAATTTCTAAAATGATAAAAGAGATATTTAAAAAATTGTTTTTCGTTTAAAAAAAATTTTTTTGCAAGAAAAAAACTTTTTTATCACTGTCAAACAATTATCATAATGTATTTATAATATTTATACCGTGGTGATAATATATATATATATTTATATATAATTACATACCATTATCGTCGCGATAATATAATCACATTACGAAACGCACTTCAAATATTCGCAAATTAAATTGTCTTCGTCGTAGTCGTGCCATTTAGAAAAAAAAAGAAATTAAACGAAAAATTATATTATGCAATTATTGTTGCTTTTTCATCAATTATTACAATATATAATAAATTATTGATATTAATATATTTACAAAGGAGGTAAATATTTACTAATATGCAGTATTATTTATAATGACTTACGATTATATATATTTTTTTCACGTGACTAAAGGGGATGGATAAAAGAGTGTTTTTTTAATGAGGAACTCACTTCTTTTGAGATTAACCACGCAAATTTTTCTTTTTTTTTTACTATACAATAGAAATGAAACGACACGTTCACGCACTCGATCGATCGACGATTAAATTTTTATTTTTTTTTGAGCATTGGTGCAATTGCACAATATTTTTCTTTCTATTTATTGCACTTTAAGTGGATAAATTATCTTTCAATTCAAATTATTTTCACAGCAATTCAAAATATTTCGAGTTCGATACAAAATTAATTTAAATTATTACGGAGTTCAATTAAATTTCCATTCTTAGTGATGTAAAATTGTTAACATTTTAATTTATTTTATGAATTAAAAAAAACATCGTCGATTATTTGTTTTTAGTAATTTCTTCAATGAAAAGAAGGAAAATTTGATAAAATTCCATTTTACAAATCTCATTAGTTCCCTTTTTATTTATTTTGGAAAAAGTTTCGAAAAAATTTGTTGCTGTTTTATTTTTTTTTTTACTAACAAGAAGGGGATTTTCGGGACTTGATAAATATCTAGAAATTCTAGGACTAAACTAATCTAGAAAGCTGCGAAAGTGTTTTTTTCTTTCCTCTCCATTACTAAAGGACTATTTTAGACTATAAAGAGTCTATGCGAAATCTACCTCACCACTATTTAGTTTTATTTTATTTATTTTTTTTAGCAACATGGACACTATTTATTTTTTCCACCCTCCCTTCCCACCCATCCCAATGTGTTCCTTCAAAATATTCCACTTTTTTTGCCTCTTATTGCTCTATAAGAAAAACTTGTATCGTCATATTATCTCGATTAACCAATAATATATTAATTAATTACTTATTCTTATTCATTATAATTCTTAGTTTTTATATACCTCGGTGTTTCAAATTTATATATTTTTTCCTGTTTATGTTGTTGTTATTATTATTATTATTAATATTATTATTGTTATTAATATTATTATTATTTTACTTAAGATTTATCACTGCTTATACTGTTTACAAAACGCACGACAAAAAATTGTTTCTAGAAGAACAATTTACTTTCCTGTGAATCGCAGTCAGAAATGCTGTCAATTTCTCAAGAAACTATTTCATTTTTTAATGAAGAATTAATTTATTTCAAATTAAAATTTTATTTAAAACAATTTTAATTAAAAGTAAATTAAATAACTTTTACTGTTTGCAATAAAAAATAAAATGATTGACTTTTTAGGTACATTTTACAATTTTAAAAATTGTAAAACATTTCAAAAAATTGAAACTTTTTGAATCTTGATTTTTGTTTGAAACACTTTTTTGTCATGCGTTCGTAATAATTAAACAATGAATCAACGAAATAATTCTCTCACATACAACACACTCTCTTAAATTTTTCTTCTATCACTCCCTCTCTCTCATACACTTATTACCATGTGCAAGTAGTACAATTATTATAATTAGCCGTATTATACTTTTTATATTATAATTTAAGTATTACAAAAGCTTGATTATTTGGATCGGACTGTAGCAATATATTCACATAACTATCATCGTGGAAAATAAAAAATTCAACTTTTACATTATACAATTATTATTCCGTTCTTTATCACGCGACAATATTCCTTTTTTTTCTTCATATATATATAATTCATCATTCTTGTCTCGTAATAAATACAATTATGCATAATATCATTTCACCATTATTTTTACTTTGAGGGGGAGGAAAAAAATGTTTTTTTCTTTTTAAATTTACATCAGAATATCGCGGATTTTAATTTACAAAAATTCTTTTTTCTTTAATTTCCATTTCAATAAACTGGCTACGACTAAAATTTTATTTTACTCGTAATACACTCGACAAGTATTTATTTTTCCTATATATCAATATTTATATATATCAGGTGAAATATATAAATTGAATTTTACTAAATTCTCAAAAAATGTGCATCAAAAACAAAACAAACAAAAAAATTTTGCCAAGAAACAAAGTCTCATTTAATGGCACAACTAATATATATATGTATATAAATATATATAACTTACAACTAAAACAATTTGTCAGTTTCATTTTCTTTTTTGCACTTGCACAATTTTTTCCCAAGCACGAATTGGGAAAATAAAATTATGTCAATCGCACTAATAAGCGCAATATAAAAACATTAATTTAACTTTTAAAAAAGATATATCACAATTTGAACGCAAAAAGATTTTTACCTATCGTTCTAAAACAGAAAAAAGAGAGGGAGAGAAAGTGAGAAAAAATAATTAAAATTAAAAAAATTAATGCGCTAGGAACATTTTCTAATTAAAAAAAATCAATTGCATGAGTTACGACAAATTTTCGGGATTAATTATAATAATTACACATTATTATTATACTATTATATAATAATTATTAACTGTGATAATTATTGATAATAATCTCGTTAATTAAACTAGTAACATTACACTCTGCCCTTATTGCATGAAATTTCAAAATTAACGATTTATTTATTTTAATTCTTTTTGATTGAAAAACATTTGTCGCAAATCCCATAGCAAATGATTTCAAAAATTTCACTATATTTCTTAATTATTTAACTATAAATCAATAATTTTAAGAAATTTTAAAATCATTTTTTCTAATTATCAATTTTACTCACTAATTAATAATTAAATAATAAAAAATTCACAATTGATACAATTTAAAAAATCTAAAATTGACAATTTTAAACCTACCAGAATATTCAAGAAATCAGGGGAAAATTCGAAAATCCATTAATTTTAAATGAACTTAAAACAATAATAATTAGAAAAATTAATAAAACTCGAAAAATTTCTCGAGAAGGAAATGGAATTTCATCAACGATTTAAAAATAAATTTCCATTTAATAATTTGATTGAATGTATATTTTTGTATTTTTCGTATCCAAATTTAATTCAAATTTAATTAAATATCGTTTTAAAATCAAATTCAATTCGATTAAAATTAAATTCACATTAAAAATGAATTTCGATTCAAACTGTATTCAAATTTGCTATTAATTTTGAATTCAAAATTTAATTCAATTAAAAACAAGAAAAAACTCTTATCGATTTCCATTTTTTAAAGGGTAATATGTCTGACTACTTGAACAGAAATAAAATCAAATAAATTCCGTCACTAGATTTAAAAAAAAAAAAATCATGACTAGGAATTCCACAAGCAGAATAAAAAAAGATGTGAAAAAGAAAAGAATATGTGCATCTGCAGTCTTAAAATTTATACGTAAAAAGACTTTTTAAAATTAATAATAATAAGCAATTTAGATTGATGTATAAATTATTATAATATTAATTAAAAGTTTAATTAAAATCGAACGCAAATTTAAATATCAATTAAAATTAAACGTTAATTAAAATTAAATGTCAATTAAAATTAATCGTTAATTTAAAATTTAATGTCAATTTAAAATTAAAAGTCATTTAAAATGAAATGTCATTTAAAATAAAACGTCCATTAAAACTAAACTTCAATTAAAATCCAAATGTACTAATTAAATTCAAAAGAATTAAGTATCAATTAATTAAAACAATTAAACTTAATGTATCAATCAATTGAAATGATTATACTACCTATACAATTAAAATTAAACTATCAATTGATTAACATATTAATCAATTAAATTTACAAACTAATTAAAACGGTTCTTATCAATTAATTAAAAAATGAACAATTAAAATACACTAACAATTAGTAAAAATACATTTTAAAAAAAGGTAATAGGGTAATTTCAATTTTTTTCCTTTTTTTTGTACTTTATCCCGTGTTTTTTCTCGTACCTTTTTCTTTTAAATAATTATCGCTCTTGATAAACGTGTCGAGCGTGAGAGCAGCGGCGACATGTGTCTTAATAATAATTTACTCGTTTAACATAAGGTTCAACGTTATCTAACTATCATCATTATTTCATACATCCTGTAACGTTCCATTAATAGTGGATTGTCTCGACGGAAAATTGATGAAAAGCAGAGAGTGATTTAAAAATACGCCGCGAAAATACGTATTTTTTCTTGTTATTTTTTTTTTTTTGTCTAAAAAGAGCCGTTCACGTGTTTTCTTTGTGCGTAGCCAAACGAAGATTTGTCCCTATTTTTTCCCAAGAAAACAAAAAACGCACCAATTTTTTTCTCGATTGGGAAAAAAACGCCTCCTCGTCCCCCTTGATAAGAACGCGTTTTCAATATCACAGAATTGTGAAAATTTTATTGCATTGTAGGCGCGTGAAGCAATTTTACTCAAAAGGGGGAGAGAGAGGCTTTGGCGATTAAATGAAATATATATATTTTTTTGTAAATACCGAGAGAGAGAGAGAGAGTTTGTCGTGCCTTCTATTCAATTAGATTCAGACTGTCTCTTTCTTCTTCTTATTGGTGTAACACTTGGACTCAAAGAACTAGAAATTTTCGGTTTATCTACCGAGATCCCGCCGTATCTGACGACTGTGCAGTTGCAACAGGATTGTGACTTGTCTCATACTCCATCACTTCCTGGTAGATCAATTCCTTCCATTGATCGACCGTGTGCTCCCTCTCGTCGACACTGTGATCGTATGGACCCGGTGCAGGCTACAAGAACAATTATTAAGTTACAATAAATAATTAAACTACTGACTAAATAATTAACGCTAATTAAATTGAATTAAATGATTAAAATGAGCATTTATCGAATAATACAGAAAATTATGTTTTCCAGTTCAACTTTGAAGACATGGAAAAAAGAAATCTTATTATCAACTTACAGCGTTAACTTCGCCTTCATCGTACCAAACGTTAATGTAATTATGAAGTAAAGCCTCGTCAACTGAGATACGACGCTCTGGATCAATGACCAACATACGCGAGAGTAAATCCCTCGCTTGACTCGCTATGGAAGAAAAATGAGAAAATAGTAATCAAACTTGAAAATTTTTAAATATTATTTAAAAAAATAAACATACCCTTTAACCTATTGTGTTCCGACGAATCGGACGGAAATAGGATATCTGGAAACAATCTTTCAAAAGGGTAACCAGGATATCGTGGCCTATTCTCGACGTAATTCCTCACCGTCGGCTGCAATCGTTGCATAAATTCTTGAGCCGGTGTTCCCAATTGTTCTGTGGAAAATCCGAGAAACCATTGTTTCATTTTCTGTTTAAATTCTTATACATATTCTAATTTAATATTTCGTTTCTGTTGTTTCAGGGAAAATTTAACACGGTATGTAAATTTTATTCAAAATTGTATTTTCTGTTTTCAAAACGAGTCCTTCTTAAAATAAATAATTACAATTTATTTTTTCAAACAAATTTTTCATGAATTTTATTTTTTTTTAAATATTTTTCCTAATTCTTTTATAAATTTAATAAATATACAATCTAAATATAATTATAATATAATTATAAAATTGTGTTTTATAGAAATTCGATTAAAAAATGAATTTATTAAAAATTAGTTTTAATGGATATTAAGTTAGATAAAAATTCCAATAAATAAAATTTTAATTAGATAAAAATTCGGTGAATTTCGATTGAAGAAAAATTCGATTAAATAAAAATTAGATTTAATAGAAATTTAAAAAATTTTAAACTTAATTAAATAAAAATTCGTTGGATTTCAATTAAGTAAAAAGTAGATTAGATAAAAATTTCGTAAAACAATTGGCAAAATAAAAAAATATAAATATGGTAAAATATAAATTTTGTATTATCAAAATTCGACTAAATAAATATTCAAACTTATGGAAATTCATTTCAAAGGCAGAATAAAGTAAAAAAGTTTAAAATAATTAGAAATTCGACAATCATTCTTCATTATATAAAGTGATTAGTATTTCGTTACCTATAATCTTATTCCACTGATCAATATGATCTGTTCCAGGGAACAAGACTCCACCTCGTATCATTTCGCCCATGATACAACCGACGGACCAGATGTCTACGTTCTCCTTGTATCCCATACCAAGGATTACCTAAAATTAAAAATAAAATTCTCAATTTTTTCCTAGGAATAAAATATAAATAATATTTTTTTCTATAAATATTCTATTAATAAGCAAAAGAATGTTTTTTCTTTCAGACAAAAAAAATAGATTACCTCTGGTGCTCGATAATATCGTGTGACGACGTACGGTGTCATCATAAATGTCGTGCCGGCGGTCCTAGCAAGGCCAAAGTCCAAAATTTTTAATGTGCAGTCCGACTTGACCACAATATTGCTAGGTTTCAAATCCTAAAAAAGAGACGGAAATATTTTAGAATTTACACAAAAGCAACGGAATAAAATTAAAATCGACAGCTAGTTTGAACACGGAGAGAAATTTATAGTAGTGGGTAACATAATTGTGGTTAGGGTGACCATCTTTAATGCTACGTATACAGACAGCTATCTAGATAGTCACCGTTACCATCAATATCATCAGGAGTAACATCTTGGTAGTACGGGGTAGCATAACTATATTTTTTTTAGCATCTGTGATGGTTGGCAGTAGCATAATGATAGTATCGTATAACATCATCTTTTTAACATCAAAATCTGACTATCCATTTCTCTCAGTGAAATAAAAAAATAAATTAATAATAAAGATTTTTTGAATTTTCCCAGAATTTTTCACGAAACAATTGTCAATTCATCATTTTTTCACAGTTTTAATTTCATTTTTAATAATAAATATTAAATTAAAATAAAGAAGTAAATTATTAATATAGAATAAATGAAAACATAAATTTATAAATTAAAATAAAAAAGCTGATTTGCATTTTTCGAAGAAAGGTTTTTTTGTAAATTTAATTTATTAGTTAAATTAAATTTATTTCAAGTTTAATTCCGAACATGTCCAATTTAATCGAATTGTTTGCATAAATTTGAATGAATTAATGAATGATTGAGGAATATTTGAGGAGAATAAAAAAGTGTATGGTGGTAAATTTAATTACCCTATGAATGATTCCGGCTGAATGTAAATGCTTAATACCACAGAGCATTTGATACAATAAATACGACATGCGCTCGTGATCCAGATCCATCTGGATTACTTGGCACAGATTGGCGTCCATCAACTCCATCACGAGGTAGACATCTTGAAACTCGTCCAACGACCGTTGTGGCGTAAACGCATTTAAGAGTCCAATAATCTGCAAGGAAAAAAGCCACACGAAAAATTACTGCCAATGTCAATGTTGAACTAAATAATTTATTATTCTCTTTATTTATTATTATTTAATATTACATTTATTATTTATTTATTATTATTATGTTTATTATTTTATTTATTAGGTATCAATTATTAATTATTAATTCTTAATTAATATATGTGATTAATAATCAAAAATCTATAGTAGTAAAAATTTGATGTTTCTTTGCTTACATTTTTATGGTTCACCAATTTCATCAGCTTAAACTCTCTGTACGCTCTTTTCGCGTGCGTCACATTTTGAAAAGGTCTAGAAAGCTTCTTGATCGCCACATTTTGAGCTGTGACAGTGTCAAAAGCGGCGCTGCAACAAAAGAAAATCGATTGATTAGTATTTTAATTAACTTTTTTGATTTACGAGGACATTATCAGGGTTGCCACAAAAATAATTTAACTTTGTTTTCCCTGACTTTTCTCTGATTTCCAAACTTTTTCCTGACTGATTTTGACTTTTTCCCTGACCCTGAAGAATATTCTGATTCACTCTAAAAATTATTAGATACTCAAAACAATGTTCTATTACATTTATTATTGAATTGACAAAAACTTTTGAAAATAATTGAAATTTTGCAAAGAATTTTATTTTTATTAAAATTCCTAAAAATAATTGAATTTTGTCGAGGAATTTTTTTATTTATCAAAATAATTGCGTTAAAGCTTTTGAAATAAATAAAAAATATTAAAAAATCCATTCTGGTCAGAAATAGAAAAAAATTTTGAAGGTTTTGTATTAGAATTCGTGGTAGTTTCATAGTTTATGAGGCAAACAAAAAAGACACGAAAAATTCATAATTTTCTTATGAATTCTAAAAATTTAATTTTTTCCAGTATTTTTAATAAAAATTCCTGATTTTTCATTGATTTCTCTGACCAATTCTACTTTCCCTGACATTTCCCTGAATTTTCTGATTTTCCTGACCTGTGGCAACCTTGATTATTTTATTATGGTAAAAATTATTATATATAATAATAAATTATTAATAAATAATTAATTTGTGTCTAGTAGTACCTAGTATTTTATTTGAATGATTTTTTTAAGCAAATATTTGATTAAATTCTTTGGCTAATTTACTAAAATTGTTTTGCAACCTAATGAGCCACTCGTTTTTTGTTTTTGTTTTTGCCCCTGGAATGATACTCACCATACAATGCCCTGCGCCCCAACTCCTCTCGGTTCAACATGGATATATCTTTCAGGCACACAAAGGACCGTATCACCAAAAACGTGTCGACGATACTCGGCCTTATGATTGGCTGCTGAACGCAACATATTCCCAATTGCGTTATCCATACCTTTGTCAGTGATCCTCATAAAAGCTCTTTTTCTCTTTCTTTCTCTTTTCTCGACAATATTCGTTAGAATGTGCGTTCGTTCAGTGCATGTTTAACTAGGAATAGCTACCAAACCAACGACAAGGACAACTAGAGTACAGAGGGAGCGAAAACAATCATGGTTAACATTCCTGGACACAATGCTAACAGACAGATAAAGAAAGTAGACAGAGAGACAGAGAGAAAGAGAAATAATGTACAAGCCATATCGTCGTCTGCGAATCCCGCCTATGTACAGATATTGATTGCACAAGCAGCGTTCAATGCATTTCCGTCTCGCGTGTCATATATATATGCACACACCAAGACCATTCCACGCGCCTGTTAATGTACAACACAACAAAAGGTTATTCTCTTCGCTCAATTTTTCCAATTAGAACAATAGAACAAAATTTTATTTTTCACTCTTCCACAGTTTTTTCCACTTGTTAATCATTAAATTTTAACAACTGAAGTGATGTTTTACTGATTGTCTTTTTTCACTATTCAAGAGCAATTACAAAATTCAGTTACTATTCTTTCGGGAATATTTCGTTACAATTACATACTTCTTGCCAACAATTTTATTACTTTTTTCGATATCATTATTTTGTCTACAAATCGATTTTACTTCAAAATATACTATTCGAAAAGATTTAGTTTCTTTATTCTGAATGTTAAAAATACTCTTCCCACCGTCGACTCTGTGAAAATTTTAATAACTATCGCAAGAAAAAAAATTCTGGAACAGAGATACATTTTTTTAGAATAGCAAAAGTATTAATTGAATCAACTAAAAACGAAAATTTGTAGTTGTTTCAGGTTAATAATTTTTTTCCTAATTAATTACGGTCGTATTAAAATTATTATCATCGATTGGAAATTTATTTTCCTTCCAACATTCCATTCAGCTACTGTTTTATAAATCTTCTTTTTTGTTTTGGAATATAAATTTAAGTGCAACATTTCTGAGAATTTCTCTTTCTCTCTTTCTCTCTCGACTCTGATGGCAAATATCTGTCCGTTTTATCTCTCGGTAGATCTGTTATCAACTATATATCTGATATTAAATCTGTCTGGTATCACTGTGCCATGCAAACAGTCTTACAGGCAAACGATCGATTTACAAAGGAAATTTGATTTGTGTAAATAGAAAGAAAAATCAATTTTCCCTCTCGTAAAATTCAACTGCTTTCAAAAATAAATTTATGTGACAAATTTTAGTGATATTGAATTTTTATAAACTTCTTGTCACATTGAATAGAAATTTCCTTTGAAAAGTGATGGAAAAAAAATTTTTTATTAAAAATATTATTAAATATTAAAAATACTTTTAAATATAAAAAAATTGAATTACTTAATATAATTGAATTTTTTCCTTTTTTCTAATTGGAAAATTTACAATTAATTTAAACATTTTTTCGTTCTTTGTAATTTTCGAGCATTTGTGTAAGACTGAATTATAAAAGTATGATTGTCGGAACCATCCACACATCAAATTTTCAAATTCTAATCTGTCTGATTCTACTGCATGCATGATAGTTCAAAATTCAAATTGTAATTTACTTTTAGCGACAAATGCAAAAAACAAAAATTAACTACAACACTATCTTTCTAAGGATATCAAATTGAGACAAAAAAACGAATCAAAAATGTTTTTTTGTCTCAATTTGATATCCTTAGAAAAACTGAACGCTATAGAAAAATAAAGAAAAATTTTAAAGAATACAAAGAAGTTAAAAATTAAATTTGTAAATGAAATAATTAACCAACTTATTAAAATTGATTAATTAGAAAATGCAAGCAAAAAAACCAAACAAACAAAAAAATTAAGACAAAATCACAAATTTTATACATAAAAAATAGAAATTAATTGTCAAAAAGAAAAACAAGGTAAAAATTAACAGTGAAAATTGAAAATACAATGAAGAATATATAGAAAATAATTTTTGAATATTAAAAATAAAATTATATAAATTAAAATTTTGAATATAAAAAATATATTCAAATATTGCAAGAAAGTAAAATGACAAAAATGTAATAATTTAGAAAATATTTTGTTTCAATTATAATAAAATTGGGAAAATATAGAAAACAATATTTACAAAAAAAATGAAAATGACTATAAAAAAAATAGAAAAAATGTCCATTTTTTCAATTTTTTTATAGTCATTTTCATTTTTTTGTAAATATTCAGGAAAATGACGAAAAGAAAAATATGAAAGCAAATAGAAAACGAAAAAAGTCAAAAAATATTACGCACTACTTTTGAAAATTCCAGAGATGGATCCAAAAATCAAGGAAACAAATCATAATAATCTGAAATAAATAAGGAAAATGATAAATAATTGTAATAATAATAATAATACATGTGTAAATATCAATAAACAAATAAAATTATAAACATCACTCGCAATTAAATATAAAACAACATCGTGCTCTCAACGAATTATTAACATCATAACAAACTATATAAATTCAACACAATAAACAAGCGCATGCAATGAAACGAAAATAAAAAAATGTCCTTCTTTTTGCAAAAAAAATACTATAGAAATATTAACTTTCTGAAAAAACATTCGTATGGATGGTTCAGGTCGTTCCCTCTCTTCCTTGGGACAAGTCAAAATATTCAAAATTTATAAAAAAAAATTCCAATTTAATAATTTATACAAAAAGAATAATTCAAAAAAGAATTTTTATTCCTTCAATTATAATTCTTCTAGAGAATTATTATTTTCGTACCAAAGAAGAGTGAATTGAAATTTTTATTTATTTCGAATTCTTGACAAAAACTTACCTTCGATTTTCTGTTAGCTTTCCATAAAGCTTCACGTCATTTTAACAGTTTTTATAAATTTTTTTTGCAACGAACCAGTGGCCGAGTATTATTGAAAACCAATATCCACATTCCGAGCAAATGTCCGACTTACCTATATATATATATTACATCCCGAGATGGATTTTTCAATTATTTTTTTATTCACGAATTATAATTTATTCTCCCTTCATGAGTGGCGACACATTGACTCCGATGAGCTTACAAATAATGTTCACTGTCCGAGAATAATGATTCAAAATATATTTATTTTCTTACTTTCCTTTGAATTAAGAGCTATTCACATTTTTCCGGTTCAATGACACACAAACACGCGGAGAGACAATTTGCGGAGAAATTGCAACAAAGCGAATATTTTGATATAGAAAATACTAATTAATGAAAAAATAAATTCGAATCCCTTTTTCCGGACAGTGAAAATTGTTGCAGAATTTAGTTGAAAAAAATGAAGAGACTCACCAAACAATTCCTTGCGCGCCAGAACCAATGGGCTTGAGGTTCTGGTATCGTTTTAAGATAGTGAACTTGGTGTCCCCGACCTCGACCGTGTAGAACATGGCTGACAGCCGGGTTGTCATTTCAGGCCCCAGGTACGGCATGCGCCTCGGTGTTCGCCTTTCCTGCACCGGGACCTGTACTTCCACTCCAGTAGAGCACTCCTGGTGCACTCTACGCGGACTGACGCTCTTAGCCACTTTGAATAAGTGGATCGATTTTATTTGGCCGATTTAATAACTCCTCGCAATCGTTCGATATTGTTTATTACGCCGCCAGTTGCAACTTGCCCACCTTGCCCACCTTGCCCTTTAGCTTCGTCCAATTCACCACTGCATTTGTCTGCAAATATATTCATTTATTATTTTAGTTTCTTGTTCTAAACAAACTATTTTATTTAATAAAATTATTGAGTCACCCCGACTTGGAGTGAGTGATCGTTAACTTCAACTTTTAATTATTTTACTACTCAGTGATGATAGAATCATATCTTCTTTTTTAAATAAATATTTAATCATTCTTATTTCTCCATATAGGTATTAAAATTCTTAGAAAGATTCGAATTTATACCTTTTTAAAATTTAACAGCTTGTAAAAATATTATTATATTATCTTCTTGTTTTATAATAATTAAATATGACCAAGTGATAAAATCATTATTTTTATTTATTCCGTAATTGTCCAATTAAATATATATTAGAAAATAAAAACTTCATATAATTTCAAAAAAAAAAAATCAATTAAACTTTTTCAAAAAAATTAATTCTACAGAATTATTACTTAAAAGTATGAAAAATTCAAACTTTCAAAGAATTTAATTCAAAAACTTTTCACTAAAAATCATTCTATAATTAATGCTTTTAATATTTAATTATTATCTAAAATTTAATGTTTCTTAAAATTTAATTTTTACAAAGAATTTTAGTAACAACTTTTGTAAATATTTAATTTCTTTTAAGAAATTTAATTAAAATTTTACTGAAATTTAAAAATTCTTTAATATATAAAGAATTTATAATAATTTTTGAAATAAATTGAAAACTTTTTTAAGAATTTTATTAAAATTTTACAAAATAATTGAATTCCTAAGAAAAATTTAAATAATAATTTATGAAAATAATTGAATTCATGCGAAGAATTTTATTAAATTTTGTTTAATTAATTGAAATTTTTGCCAAGAATTTTATTAACATTTTTGACAATAATTTAGTTCTTGAGAAGAATTTTGCTATCTATTTATGAAGATAATTTAATTCTAGACGAGAATTTTAAAAAAATCTTGAAAATAATTTAATTTCTGCAAAGTATCTATTTCATTACTATTCAAAAGAATTGAATTCTTGTGATGAATTTAAGAATTTATCGAAATAATTGAATTTTGGAAAAGAATTTTATTAAAATTCCTTAAAATAATTGATTTTATGGGAAGAATTCGGTTGTTCATCAAGATAATTTTTATTAAATTCTTTTAGAAAATTTTATTAAAATAGTAGATATTGAAAATCATTTAATTGAGAAAATTTTTTGAAAATAATTGAATTTCGGCGAAGAATTTTATTATTCATAAAAATAATTGAATTTTGACGAGAATTTTTAAAAAAATGTTGAACATAATGGAATTTCTTCGAAGAATTTTATTAGTTTCGAAAATAATTGAATTTCTCTAATCATTTGTAACTTCTCAAAAATTCAATTTTTTCTATACAATTTCTGTTGATTATAATGCAGTCGTTTAAATTTAGCCGATTATAATTAACCGCAAATAGTAATTAAGAATTAAATTAATTAATTATAATATATGTCTGTCTACTATATAAATACAGGATATTAAAATATTAATTTTAATTAGAAAAATTATAACTACTGTGGATTAATAATTTTTTTTTCTTTTAACTCTGGAAGTTATTTACTATTTTTAAAAATTATTTTAATTTGTGACTTATGAATCTATTTTTTTTGAATAAAAAAGACTGTTTGATCATTTAATGAAAAAGGTTAATCAATAAATGTGTGGGTTCATCTCTTCAAGTTTTTTTTTATTAAAATAGAAAAAAATTCTTAACTTAAAATCACTGAAGCGTTTATTTTTTTCCTTTATCAACGAATGTTTTCAGGAATATATTCTCAAATTGAATCAAAATGTTCAGTGCTCGTTATATGAATTGTGAACAGGATTCATGCTGTGATGAGTGAATCATTCTGCGTCATCGAGAACGCAGGTTTATTGCTCCTGCTGTTTATCATCACAAATAACTTTCCAATTTCTAATTTTTAAAGTGGGGAAAAAAATGAAAACAAACTAAATATTTACAATTTTGTTTCTGTAAATTATGTTAACCATCATTTTATCTAATTTTGTGTAATATAATTTTATTTTTCATTTTAATTTAAAGAAAATCTATTGTTAACGAAATTTCAATTATTACCATTATCATCGTTATTTGCGGTGAGAAATAATTTTAAGAATGCAAGATATTTAGGAGAAGCTGTGTTGCTCATTTGTTACAACAATAGACATGGAAATATTGCTTGAGGTATGAGAGTGACACTTGCGTCAACACGAATGCTGGGTGTTAATAATAATAATGCACTAAAGTTAAACAAAATGCCTATATTATTAATATACACACGTGTTTCGAGCCAAAAACTTTTATAACGTTCAGACAGGTTAATGACCCATTTTTTTCTCCCTATCGCATCGTTCTTATGCTAATTCGTTCTTACGCTTCAAAATTTCAATCCTAAATTTCGAAAATAAAAAAATAAATATATATCTACTTGACTCTTATTTTACTAATATTTATTCATTCGTATTTATTCATTCATTAATTAATCATTAATTTGAAAACATGAATAAAACATTAATTTTAAAACTTTTAAAAGTAAGTTTTTAATTCAGTTGAAAGTAATTAATAAAACATAACTTTAACAATAATTAATAAGGAAACATTAATATTAAAACTAATTAAGAAAATATTAATTTGAAAATTAATTTGAAAATTGATTTAAAATTAATTCGAAACATGTATGTAAGTTAATAAATTTGAAAAAAGAGAAGAAAAAATATCAGAAATTACTGTCACGGATGAGTGGAATTTCCTTAAAATTTAAAAATAGACGAAATGTGGGTCAGTGCTTCAAGTCAGGAAATGTTAATTTTACATGATAGCTAAAAAAAAGTTTCTTCGATGCAGTTCTTCATTAAGAAGTTTAGTATTTATTGGTATTGGCCATAATAACCGTCAATTTTTAATACCATACTTTATAATTACTGTCATACAACCAATTTTTAAAAATATTTTAAAAATACCGTTTATTGTAACAAGCATTGATAAATAAATAATTAAAAAAGTAAATAATAACCACTATATATTTTAATATTGTACATAATTATAATTCGTCAGTGATAACAAGCAGTGCTTAATAATTACCTCATAATTACTGTCAATTATTACAGGTGCATTGTATTAATTGAATTAACCATTAAAATTAAAACTACCGTCAACTGACGTATTATTGCAAAGGGAGAAAAAATGAATTTAAAAAGCAAAATGAAAAAAATGAAAAATGACTATTATTTGACAGTTAGGATAAAAAATGAGACACAATAAATACGAGCATAAAATATAAATAATATTTGCGTTTAGAATGTAAAAAATCGACTTGTGCATATATATAATGTTGAATAAAGCTCGTTCGCCAGAGGCAATCTAGGTCATTCCATCTCCCTCTTTACATATCGATGCAAAAAGAATAATAAAACCGTAGAAAAAGCATAACCCTAGACTCCGATCGATGAGGTGAACGCCCCACCAAGTGAAAAGGGTGCAAAAGGGCCACGTGGCAATTTGTTCATTTACAGCATCCTAATACCCGATTTACAACCTCCGCTTATGATAGGATCTTGAATTTATATGGGAGCTATTATAACCGGGATCACCGCTTTATTGCATCAAATTGACTCTTCAAACCACTTGGCTAAAATTAATAAAGCTCTTTTTTTCTCTCTCTCAAATTAACACTTTATTTATCAATTACTTTCTACTTTTTTTTATTCAAAATTGCAAACTTTGGCGGTAATTTAATTAATTATTTAACTATTTTGGAGTTTGACCAAAGGGTACTAATTAAAAAGAAGATTTTAACAGTTTGTACCGTTACCGCTACCGACAACAGTGATTACCGTCGAGTGACGGTAGTTAAATGGAAAATTGTATTCGTACCCAATTTACTTTCCCTTGAAACATATAATATCTAGATAATGTTCAATTTTCTTGGCCATTCAACAAAATTGAGGGTGGTCATAATGTCGCATTATCGATGTAAATGATTCCGACTGTCATAATGATAAAAATTTATTGCATTATAATGTTGCAACTGTAGCTACTTAACCTTGCTTTATCTCATTTCCTGCTCTAGATGTTTATTTCGAAACTAAACGACAATATTGTCTCTATCATTTAATTCACCACTATATCGAATGACAAAAATATTTCAATTTTTTACTCACTTTTTTAAAAATAATTTTTTAATAATTTTAATTAAATTCAATTATTTACACGTAAATTCACTTCTATTTACACTTCAGTAAATTACTAATTTTCAATTATCGTTCATATAGACAGAATGTAAAACAAAAAGTAAAAAAAATACTTATTTTCAATTTTCGTTCTTAGACAGAATTTAAGACAAACGAAAAAAAATTAAATGGAATAAAAATTCAAGTGAAGAATAAAAAATGATTGATTATTAACAATAAGGAGTGATCGTATTTTTCAAGACAAATATTTAATGAAAATTAAATTACTAGTTTGATATTAATAAAATTTTTAATTAAATTATAAATAAAATTTTTAGTTAAATTTTTAAACATTATTTTGAATTTAATATTTTTTGAAACGTTGACCCAGTGATTTTGAATAATTTGTCAAAAAAGAAGGAAAACTTATGCAATCAGCTGAATGCACGGGAGACAAATAGGCGAGTGTCTAAAATTCGCACGGATATACGCACATGCCATCATCAACATGTCCGCATTCCTGAAACTAGTATCTGACAGGGTACAAATTTCTTTAGCTTCACAGTCGAGCTGCGACAAATCGCTCATTAGGACATGCTTAATGATACTCGCTTCTAATCATATAATATCATCTCACAGAAATAACTACTGATTTATTCAATTTTACAGAAATGATAAATTTCCCAAAATTCCCACGCGGTCTAAAATATTTCACTTGGAATATCTCAATTTCAATTTTAAATAAAGAATACTTTTCCAAAGTAAGAACCGAACCGAAACCGAATTTTCGAAAAAATTCTTTGACAATTTTCAAATCCATTTATTTACAATATTCAATTTGACGAAATTTCAATTATTCGGAAATTCTTCAATTAAATATATATTAGAATATAAAAACATAAAATACTATAATAAAAAATTCAATTAAACTTTTGCAAAAAAATTAATTTCAAAATTCAATTATTTCTAAAAGTTCACGCTATATTGCTTTTAATATTCAATTATTAGATACAATTATTAAAAAATTAAAAATAATGGATTTATAGAAGAATTTTAATTAAAAACACTAAAAAAATTGAATTTTGGAGAACTTACAAATGATTAGAGAAATTCAATTATTTTCAAAACTAATAAAATTCTTTAAAGAAATTCAATTACAGTTAAAAATTTTTTTTAAAAATTCTCGTCAAAATTTTCAGTATCATTAAAATAATAAAATTCAATTCTCTAGAATTGAATTATTTAAATTAAAAAAAAAAATAATTTATTAAATAAATGCATGTTTCTTAAAATTGAATTCTCATAAAGAATTTTATTAATAAATTTTTAAATAATCGAATTCTTTTGACGAATATTAATAATCAAATTTTTAGGAATAATTACATTTTTAGAGGTATTCGATTAAAATTGTATTAAAAATAATTGAAATTCGGTAATGAGTTTTATTATTTATGAAAATAATTGAACTTCTAAAAAGAATTTAATTATTTACGAAAATAATTGAATTTGTAAAAATTTTATTATTCATGAAAATAATTGAATTTTTGCCACGAATTTTATCATTTTGAAAATAATTGAATTCTGGAAGAATTTTACTAAATTTTTTTGAAAATAATTGAAATTTTGTGAAGAATTTTATTAAAATTTTTAAAAATAATTGAAATTTGGAGAAGAATTTAATTATTTCTAAAGATAATTGATATTTTGACGAGAATTTAAAAAAATTTTTGAACATAATTGAATTGCAGCTATTACTTTTGAATATAATTGAATTTCTGCAATCGTTTCTAGTTTCTCTAAAATTCTCCAAATTATATCGTACAATTTCCGAACTTTTCGTCTTTTTTCAATCAAATTACGGATTTTAAGGACCTTTTTTCAAAAAAAATGTGGATATTAAAATGGGAAAATAAAAAACTTACCATAAATCCATAATCATTTTGAAGTTTTGATGAAATTTTGGCGCAGGAATTAGGAATCTGCAAAAAAAAAAAAAAAAAAAACATTGATTATATGATCGTAATTATTCATTAGAATTACAGTTTAAAATTTTTAAAAATTGAAGTCTTATTATAGATAAATAAAAATTAATTTCTTCAAATATTTTCAATAAAAATGTTTTAATTATGAAGAGTGAAAATTAGTTTAATATTTTAATTGAAAAGAAAATTATTACAACATACGAGACAAATATGGAACACATGCTCCAGTACATAAAATATGGAAACGAACAAGTTCCTGGAACTTTCGTCGTTTCATGTTTCATCAGTGAAAGGGAAGTCGAATTTTAAGGGTCGAAGGGTAATTTTAATCCCGAAATTCGCCTATATGAAAGTAGAGTCTTGCGGCTCACAAAATGACGTCATATACTCGGTAAATATAAATAATAGCGTGCTCCAGTAAATACAGGGTGTTGCGATATATACCTAATATCAAGAGTTTAGTGTACATGGGGCTTGTATTTTCCCTTATTCACTTTCGCAACATTTTCTGAATGGATAAATACAGAAATTACATTCGCCACAACGATCGCGTATACAACAATCATTATTTAATATTTATACAGTTTCACTAATTATCCTCACAATAATAATTGTAAACATTAAATGTTTAAATACCCCCCATAGTCGGTGTATTTCAAAAATATTATTTACATTTACTTTACATTTATACTAAAAAAATACAGTAAACTGAAATTTTCTTTTTAATTACAATTTTCATATTTCATTACAGAAATTTATATTTGAAGAGGGAAAAAATTGCCGAAATAAACAAAACCTTTTGATCTGGTAATTAGCTTTGTCGGTACAAACGAACCGTTCTTCATCTTTTCCCTTATCACGAGATTAAAACTGAGGCTATATATTCCTATACCCGCGGGCATTTTCAATTTTAGGATTTATAACTTACTTTATTTTAAGAGCAAAAACGAAAATGCAAAAAGACTAGAAAAAAAATAACAAGAAAGGAAAAATAAATAGAAAATATAAGAAAACTGTCAGTGAGAAAAAGTGTAAAAAAATGATAAAAAAATTTAATTATCCAAAATAAGGGAAAATTACGCTAATTACAAAGTAATTGGGAAAACACTAGAATTAGAAGAAATTATCTCGTCTTTTATAGAAACGAGAAATAAAAGAATAGTTTTAAAGATAGAAGAAATAAATGACAGAAGTGTTACAAATAGTGGAGTAATTACGGAATAAATTAAGTATAAATTTCACAGCAAATGTGTCTAGTAATTGCGACACCTGTTTTTAATTTTCCCTCTCCTTCTCTCTGACTTTTTTTCAGTGCAAATAAATCCTTCAGTTTACACGATCCACCTGTGAGTAGCCATTCAAGTTAATGGCACGCCTATAGGGATTCTAATGGTAATTCGATTTCGAGCGACAAGTTATCGGGACCCCGTTTTGCTCTTACTCTTCCCAACTATACGTTCAAAGAAACGTAAATAACGCTTTGCCTTAAGCTACAAATTCAGGCCAGTCTGCAAATGAAAATTCAATTTAAATACTGTGACGCAAACAATGATACGAGAGGGGAAAATATCTGCAAAGACAATTCCGTTCTTTTAAAGATATACTTCAAAAAATAACAAAATTCTTTATTCGAAAATAAAGCGAAAAATTATACACCGTCAATAATTGTAATTGTAACTGCACTGAAAAAGAATTTATTTGATTCAAATAACTGATTAATTGACTATTATTAATTAAATATTTCCTTGAATCAAATAATATTTATTGGAGTCAATTAAATGGTAATTGAACTAATAATTTCAATATTTTAAGCAAATATGAACTGAACCATTTAACCGACTCCAATAAATATTATTTGATTCAATTAAATATTTAATTGATAATAGTCAAGTAATCGTTTATTTGAATCAAATTAATTTTTTTTCAGTGTTTCGAATATAAACAGACGGTAAAAGCACATGATAAATAAAACTCGAAAAATTCCATGGAATCTCCCTGGAAATTACATGGAAATTCTGCAAGTTTTTTATTTTATTTTTAACATTTCCATCATGATTAGAGTCTAATAATAAATTTTGTTGCAAAATATTTGCAAATTGCAACAAAGCTTGCAAACTCTAATCATAAGCTCTTTTTCAATAAAAAAAAACCTTTAATTTGATGAAAAAAGGCCAAATTTGATATTAGACTCCAAAAATTGTATAAAAAATAATTGCGTCGTTTTTCAAGATACAAATTTTCTCTAAATCGGAAATAAATTTTAAAAATGTTCTTAAATACATCCGGGTTTCGGAAAAAGCTCTTCTTTAACAAAAAAAGCTCCAATTTAATGAAAAAAAAGCAAATTTGATATTCGACTCCAAAAATTGTTTATACAAATTATCAAGACAAGCGTTGTTTTGCAAAATTCTAATTTTTTCTAAACACGAAACAAATTCTAAAGGAGATTTGAGTTTCTCCGTGTTTCGGGAAAAACTCTTCTTTAATAAAAAAAAGCTTCAATTTGATGGAAAAAAAGTCCATATTTGATATTCGACTTCAAAAATTGTGAAAATAAATTCACAAGACCAGCATCGTATTTCAAGACACAAATTTTTTCTGAATCGCAAATAAATTTTAAAAAAGCTCTGCGTATCTCTATGTTTGGAAAAAGCTTTTTTTAGTAAAAAAAAAGCTCCAGTTTAATGAAGAAAAGTCCAAATTTGATATTCGACTTTAAAAAATGTAAAAATAAATTTACAAGACCTGCGTCGTTTTTTAAGATACAAAATTTTTTCTGTATGGAAAATGTAATTTAAAAAAGCTCTTAGTACCTCCGTGTTGGGAGAAAAAGCTCTTCTTTCATAAAAAAGCTCCAATTTGATGAATAAAAATACCAAATTTTATATTCTACTCCAAAAATTGTTTAAAGAAATTAGCAAGACCAGCGTCGTTTTGCAAAATACAGATTTTTTTCTAAATTCTAAAAAAGATCTGAGCTTCTCCGTGTTTCGTAAAAGCTCTTCTGTAATAAAAAAAGCTTCAATTTGATGAAAGAAAGATCAAATTTTTTCTGAATCGGAAATAAATTGTAAAAAAGCTCTGCGTACCACGATGTTTCGGAAAAAGCTTCTTTTTAATAAAAAAGCTCCAATTATATGAAGAAGAGTTTAAATTTGATATTCGACTCCAAAAATAGTTAAAAAAATTATCAAGACTAGTGTCGTTCTTCACGATACAAATTTTCTCTGTATCGAAAATAAATTCTAAAAAAGCTCTGAGTACCTCAGTGTTTCGAAAAAAGTTTTCTTTAATAAAAAAGCTCCAATTTGATAAAAAAAAAGAACAAAATTCTAGACGAGTGTACCGTTAAAAGGTAAAAATTAATTATTTAATATTTAAATAACTACGGTTATTGCTACAAGAAATAAATAATAATTTTATCCGAAGCCTTAACAGTAAAGTGTAAAAATTCATCAGTTTAATTATAATTCTAAATTCGTGGATTTTTATTCATTAATAATCACATAATAATTTAATTCTATTCGTAAAATTTACATTTCAGTTAAAAAAACATTAAGAGTCGAAACAGTTGAAAAAAAACATTTTAAATACCGCCAGATGAAAGTTTTCCAACATCACCACGGAATTACACAGCAAAAAAATGCCAAAGTAGCAAAAAATAGACCATTTAAAAAAGAAAAAGAAAAATAAAGCAGACGCAGAAAATTATCTTGATGCTTGAAGATTTTCATGAAAAGAAAAGTTTATGGGCAACATTTTTGAGCTTTTCGTGGAATTATCGCGCGCTCTCACATTTGAAATTGTTGTGAATTCTCACGGGGAAGCCTTATTGGCGAAAAACGTCCCAAGTAAATTACCTGGGAGTTAAGGTTTTACTTGCAAGCGAGCGAGCAATGACTGAGCGTCAAGGGTGTGCTACAAAACAAGAGTATAGAGTTACTGCTAATAGTGAACGCTTTTACTTTTCGCGCACATTTCACGCACAACCTTCATTTTCGAGTGTTGTTTATTTTTCTCTACTCGTCAAGAGGGGAAAAAAGAAAAAGAGAAAAAGATATATAAGTCTAAGTGCTGCCAGCAATTAGTGTGATTATATAAATAACTTTTCAATATTACTGTATTTTTTTCTCCTTCATTTTCATTTCGTCGTTTCTTGACTTCAAACGAAATATTTCAGGGTTGCCAAAAAAATTTAATTTTTCCCCTGATTTACAGACAGAATTTTGATTTTTTCCTGACTATAAAAAATATTCTGATACAAATTGCAATTAATATTTAATATCAAAATACTTGTACCATTACTAATAACTATGAGAGCATTTATAAATCAATAGATTTACTTTTTTCTGTTGCGCACTTCCTAATATTTTTTGTGAACAAAAAAAAAAAAAAAAAAAAAGACGCGTTTATTTCCCAAAGGATGTAAGTCTTCATAACACGAACCTGCATTCTCCTTTTCTTGCTCCCCATTTACTTTGTCATTCGCAACAGCAATTACTTTCAGAAAGTCCCCAGATAAACGCAGTCCTGTTCTTATATATTGAGAGATCTATTGATTTTAAACGACAAGTTAAAAAAAATGAATTTTTTATCGCAATCTATAACCAATAATTGTTGATTGTGAAAATTGTGAATTGTGAATTGTGAAATGAAGGGAAAATTTTTGAGAAAAGATTATAAGTTGATTAAAGTAAGAAAAGTTGAATAAATAGAATATAATAGAAACAAGTAGATAAATTTAGTGAGTGTTCCATTTATCACTACACTATAGAGCCAGTTTCTTGTCTCGGATAAAATTTATAATGACTGCTGATTGGTTAATGAGGTTGAAGATCACAGAAGGCTATTTATAGGAAAGTCGATGTTCTACTTGGGGAATTCTGGAATATCAAATTTGCTCTATGCGCCTTTTACACTGAACCGAAAACCCGTCAAAGTGTTCGTTTAGTTATGCACTCGGCAGTGCTCTCTCGACATTTTCATTCCATAATATT